CTGAAATCAAGTCAACTTGCACTAAAAGTACTTGGTAACAATTTCATATAATGATTCCATGCAACCATTTCATGCTTTGAAAATCTTCAATCTTTGAAAGCTAAAATAATGATAAATAAACTTAATGCTGAAAGATTTACTTTGTGGTAGATCACAGGAATAATAAAAGAAAAATCAACAGAAAGAATATGTGCTCTGAAAAAAGCCTTGACTTCATCCCCCCAACTTCTGAAAGACTAAGCACCGCACACAAGGTGACACTTTAAATGTTTATTTTGCTGAACACCTGGAAAAAACCCTATTTAGAGCATTAAGCATTTTTTTTAAAGATATGACTCAAATGCATTACAGGTTCATGAGCAATACACTTAGGATGCACCCTCAGAGAGACATCAGGCTGATCGGTTATGAGCATGACTTAATACTCTGCTAGGGGGGTTTTATGGTCATATGAGAGTAATTTCAAATAATTTACAGGTGGAAGGACAGATGAATCGGGTATGTGTCAATTACTACTATGCTCTTAGGTTTTAGGAACTGCTTAGTTTTTCTATTTCGCACAAGCTCATCACTAAGTCTGGGCATCTATGTCCTTAGTCCATTTACCTAAAAACAGAGAACAGCCTATCGCCTTCTGAATTGCACGGTTTTCAAACAACCTCTAGTACAATTAAGTGGCACTATCATACAACCAGATAATTAGCCAAGACGTCAGCAAGAAGGCCTTCCAAGAGCAAGAACAGTGATAATATCTAGAGAGAAGAGAAATATCTATTTCATCACTTGAATTACCAGTTTTCAGGAAGTAAAAGGTTTGTACTAAAAAGTGACAAAGCAAAATGGCGGCGGGGGCAGGGGGTGTAATTCAAAGGATGAGGAAGAGGTGGGTGGCAAGTCCCAAAGGTTAGCATTAGGCTTGAGAGGCTAATCTTCCTGTGCTCCCTCCAGCCAAAGAACAGAAAAAAGGTCTGATCCTAACTCTCTCCTAGGGGAAGCTTTCCCTCAGCCTTTATGAAATCCTCTCTGTTTACCAGAACAATTTACAAGAACAGAAATAAAGGATGGGGAAATCAAGAAGAGGTCAACTTCTCTGTTGAGGCTGAAAATAAACACAGAATTTCAAACAGTATCTACTAAGAAGGAGGAAAAAAAGAAAAACAAGAGAGACTGAGGAAAAACTAAGGTCAGATTTTAGAGGTATTTAACATCTTGCCACAGAAATTAAAAAGTGCAGCGCAGCTTCTCCTGCCTGAGTGGTCCTGGGGGTGTTTCAAGTCATAATCAAAACAATTGTGGCAATGAGTTGGTAAAAAGACTGCATTATGGCTCAGATTCCTTTCAGCTTTTACAACTTACTACCCTGTTACCACAGACGTGCAAACAGGTTGATGGGAGGAAGCAACAGCCCCCAACGTGGCTAATGCCCCCAGAGTTGTCAGCTGAAAGTTTAGCTCTTCAACAATTAACGTTATGTTGCATACTCTAACTAGACGAGGCCACAACTCTTTTCTCTGAGTACTTACTAAATTACTTCCCATCAGCGCTAAGCTTCTGCAAAAACAAGCTCAGCAGCAGCAACTACGCATTCCATGCTGCTGACACATTTCCATGTAAGAACATCTACCGCATACTTCTCTGCACACCTCTGCCTTGGAAAGAAGCAGCATGGAAACCCACTCCTCACATCCCAGTTACCCAGTGCAAACTAGTGGCTGATCTGCAATAGGATCCACAAAATAACTAACATATCACCGCTCACCTAAGCTTTCCACTTGTTCGGTTTTTAAAGACAGACCACTTAACAGAGGGAATCCTCGTTCTGACGGTAACATTGGTCTGAAGTTAGCTTTGCTGTCGTTGGCAGCACTGGGAATAAGATAACCAAATGGCACGGAAAGTGCTGACAAAAAGCTGCTTTGAAATGAACTTTAGGTTGTGAGCTAAAAAAACCTGATATATACAAGCATATAAGGATGGATTTCCAAATAGTTATTTCTGTGATTTTTTTTTTTTTTTTGTAAATAAAGCAAAAATATTTTTAACTGTTCATATTTAAAAATGCAAAAATCAGAACCAACATGTACAAAAAGCTAGAATTTGGGGAAATATAAGCAGCTTTCTCTTTTTGTGCGAAAAATAAAAAGCCAGTAGAACAATAAAACACAGATGCAAACAAGAAAAAACATCAAATGTTATTTTCAAAGGACAAATTGCAATCTTAAAGCATCTCCTCAAAAATTCTCAATACAAATAATGGACTTTTATTGTTCATTTACTGCAAGGTTAGGCAGCCTGATATGATGGATGAACTGTCAACCCCCAACTAAACTTCTACAATCCATCATAGAAAGAGTGGAAATTTCACTCAAAGTGTCAATAAACCTAAATGATGAAGTGCAAAATACTTTACAGAGTTCTGATCATTTTTTAGAACCTGCATTCACTGCAAAATTCCAGAAACACCGCTCTTCCCCCACTTCTTTCCCCCTCCCCCTTCAAGTCATAAAATGCAGGTTTACATCTTGATTTATAAGTCAATGATACCATAGAATCATAGAACAGAAACGAAGTTTTTGTAAAGGTCTAGTGCTACGGAAAATGATGTTTACAAAGTAAGCTATTTTACCCAAACATCAAAAAGATTGCCAAGATTTTGTAAAGATTTCTGTTTAACTAATCAGTTATTCAAAAGTGGCCACATTAAGAAAATTAACCCAGGGCTGCACTGGAGCTTGGTCTGAAATCAAAGCTGACCCTGCCCTGAGGCAACTAGAATTATTCTATGATTCTATGACACTAAAAATAGGAGATTTTTTTTCTGTGAAGGCACAATTAAATATATACATTTCCATTTAATAAAACCCAAGAGGTTACTGCATCTTTACTTAATTTGGTGACAACTGACAAATAATTTTGAAGTATTTGTACATAGCTACTAACTCACACTAGTAACAATGCTCTGAATTATACACGTGGGAAAACTTCACTTTATAACACCAACAAATTCTTATGTATCCTGTTATTACAGCAAAAGGGGTGGCAAATGCAGCAGCATGAATGTGCAGACCCATCGAAAACCAGGTATTCCGTTGCTTGACGTAGGTATCCAAGATTTTGTTATCAGCTTAAGTGTTTACATTATACAGCAATATATTCTTTGTGTCCATATCAGAGGAAGCCTGCATCTCTTCTTCATACACAAATGCAAAAGCCAAATAAACCAGTTGTAGCAGATTTATCACAATATGTTAAAAATCAGCTACCAATTACCCTTTTGGACTTGATTCTGTGATGAGATGTACTGTGACTAAAGCTAAACATGAAACTCCCAGCAGAAGTATCACAATACACTAGACTACAAAAATTTTAGGTTTTACTACAGATCTCAGAGCCTAATACAAACTTTTGTCAAATTTGATGAGGATATTTTAATAAATTGGTAGAAAGCATTTATAACCGATGTCGAATGTAAAAGCGTATTACTGCAATCATAAAATCTGTAAAAATTAGGTCATCCTGCTTTTGCTTATCATTTACTGTTTAAAAACTCAATGCATTACTTTAATCTAAGGCACCACCAGACTTTCTCATCTGTACCTCACCTTTATCCCAACTGCCCTGCCTAATGGTAACCCTACAAAAATCCTTCTCTTTGATTCTTTTTTTCCCTATTCCAACAAAGCAAGCAAGCTGTGCATCATAACCAAGTCAAATCAAAAAGGTATCCTCACATAGGTACCAATCTAAACAGTTCTAAATATTCATGTTGGAATACCTAAGTTGTTTTAGCTTTAAACACATTCAGAACATCTTGATCGCAGAAGCCACTCACACCCTTACATGAAGTATGTTAAGTGAAAATATTTAGGAATCTTCCTTGACATATACTTCAAAAATGGAACACAAAACACACAATATAAATTGCATGGGCCCTTGCAAAAAAAACCAAAAAAACCAAAAAAACCCCCCAAAAAAAACCAGGGGAGGTTTTTCATTAATCCAAAAATCAGTGTTTCTCTGTTTTCTCAGAACTCCCAGATACTGAATTACCAAGAAAAAAACCCACAAAATGAATGTGTATTTATATAAATTCATACTGAACAATGTAGGCACAACTTCAAAGAAACATTTGAAAGATGCCCTAGTACTGAGTTTTCATTTAATTCTAAAGCTCAGACTGAAGATTTTTTTGTTCCCCCTTTTCTTTCGTTTCATATTGCCTCGTGTTTCATAGACAAATACTCAATTGAGTGAGATCACAGACTCAGATTTGCTGGAGATTCTTCACTCAATGTAATGCAACATAGTCTGTAAAACTAAGATGAATAAGCTTGTGTTTGCTGTAATTAGGACTCCCCTCCAATCAAACCCCACAGCCTTTCAGTGTTCTTTTGAATGTAAGTCACATTAACTTACATAAAGTAAAAAAACTAACTTGCATACAATAAATAAAACAGATCCAGTAAAAACCCTGGTTATCAGATTCAAATTCTAATGCTGTATTTGTTCCCCCTCAATCTTCCCATGTAAAGTTCAGGAACTTTCCTATTTGAGAAACTGTGTCTGCCATAGGAGCTGCTATATGCTTATTACCTGAGCTATCATCTACCTTTCCCATATCTAATAGTTTTTCACTCTTTTTACTAAACTCAGAAAAGCTTTTCTGAGAACAGTGACTGCGTCATTCTTGAGCACAGTGGTAACAACACGTCTGAACAAAAAACTTTTATTTCAGAAAATGGGCTAGAGAACAGAGCAGAACAACCCCAAGGCTAAGGCTCCTTATCTTTCCCTTTCCTCATCTACCTGTATTATACCATAACACTATTACTGGAGATTTACATCCATCTCTCTTTACAAAAAGGGCTCATTTGACACCTCAGTACTTCAGAAATGAATGTTTCAAGGCAAGGACTGATGATAAATGAAGCTTAATAAATGCATTGTCTATTAGTCCAATGCAATACTGACCACATATGAAGAAACTAAAATTGTCTTACCGTACACTTTGTGCTCGTCGTAATGGTCAGGGTGAAATCTGAAGAGAATTCTAAGTCTGGAGTGGATGCAGTATCACAGTCGATATGCTGTCGAAAGGAATAATACAATTCTGTCAGTAACAGTGCTGAATTTAAATTAAGATCTTCCTTTGGATGAAGGTTGTTCAGTTGTTCCCATAAGACGACAACTCTCTTAGGGCAATACTAATTCAGCTCTCCAAAAATGGGAAGAGACTTAAAACCCACCTAATCCTATCTGCACACTGAAGAAACACCTAAAACCTCTCTTCCCCAAATGCCAAAATAAACAGACACTTTGACTACTAGCAGTCTGGAACTAGATATAATAGCTCGCTGTTCATGAAAGTTGCTCTTGATGACAGTTGCCTGTTGTTGAGATTAAGCAGCTTTCACAGGCATCTTCACAAGTTTTGAACCTTATTCACATAACCACATGGTAAGCTACAGTATGAAACTGATATGGGTTAAAACTGGGCTTTTTTGATTTGCCAGGTTCGCTTCATATTGATTGTAGAATAACTGAGGTCATAGAATAACTTAGTCCAACCCCCTGCTCAAAGCAGCGTCAACTAGAGCAGGTCGCTCAGGACCGCGTTCGGATGGCTTCCGAACACCTCCTAGGATAGAGACTCTACAACCTCTCTGGGCAACACGTGCCACTCTTCAGTTGCCCACACCCCAGGCACTTGTACGCACGGAGAAGATCTCCCCTGAGCTTCCTCTTCTCCAGACAACACCACCCCAGCTCTTTCAGCCTCTCCCTACATCACAGATGCTCCGGTCCCTGCAGCACCTTTGCCGTCTTTCACTGGACTCGCCCCACTCCACTCAGCTCGCTCTCGCGCTGGGGAGCCCAGGACTGGGCACAGCGCTCCAGAAGCCATCTCCCTGCGGTACCAGAGAAGCCGCATCTCTCTCGACCTGCTGGTGACAAGTCTTCTTCCTAACGCAGCCCAGCAGGCTGGTTTTGCCACAAGGGTGTGTGTTGCTGGCTCACGGTCAACTTGGCGTTGACCGGGACCCCCACGTTTTTTTCTACAAAGCTGCTTTCCAGCCCGTAGGGCCACCGCCTCTGTTGATGCGTGGGGTTATTCTTCCCTCTCCTCTGCAGGATTCTGCATTGCTCTTTGATTGCCCGAGCCCTCTGCACAGGACCCCCGTTGGCCCATTTCTCCAGCCTGTGGAGGTCCTTCTGAAGGACAGCACAACCACGCAGTGCATCAGTATGTGAAATATCAGTAACAGAACAGAGAAGAAAAAGAACACGAGGCAGAGAATTGCTTCACTGTTTTGAAATTAACACAAAACAACAGATAACAAAGATAATATTGTCAAATCAAATTGCAACTTGCATTTCAATATTCTGATTTTTATATATATATATAAATATATATAAATATATATATAAAATCAGAGTTTTTAAAGAGCGACAAGCTTCAGTTTTCAGTTGTTCATAAAAATTCCACCACATTTTTTCACTGTATGAAATTCTTTGGTTTACATACTTGGTTAAAATGCTTTTTCCAAGAACGTCACATACTGCTGAAGTTAAATGCCATATACGTTATTAATCAATATTTCTTGACGCTGCCTCACGTTTCTTTAGGTAATGTTTTGCTTCCTAAAAAGTTGCATTATAAACTATACAAAACAAGCAGCAGCTAAACTGAGCAAACACACTGAAATATGTTCTGTAATAATCATATGATAAATTGGAACATTTTTAAACTTTCCCTAAAAAATATAATCCATTTGTTCTGTGGAACAGCTATTGATTAAAACAATTTTCCTATAATGCCACTGTTGCTCAACTCATTAATTTTACTACTTTGTACTGTAACTCCAGCAAACTAGCTCGTGCATTGACGTCAGGTTATTTTAAAAAAAATCACGGTTTCTACTGAGAACAAATGAGTATAAAACCATTAAGCGTAACAGTTACACAAAATGCTGCATGATGACAAAATTTGCTAAGTACATATACCTGAGCTGGACAATGACGGCTCATGACAGTACATATTAGAAAGGGACACGTACTATTACCAGTAAAGCATTTTGCTTCTAAAATGACAGCATCTTATAGACTGCATTGGGCACAGTTAACTATAGTTATTGTTATCAACGCGTTTCAGGTTAAGATGTTGTTTTAATTCGTTTGCTTGCCTAACAAACTGATAGAGCTCAACTTATCCACACAGCTATTAATTTAGAGCACCTTATATGTTCTTCATTCTCTGTATGGCAAACTTGACCTATTTGCAAGAATTATTCAACTATGCTTTCACTTGAATGAGAACATGCAAAATGTTATAAAAAAAATGGCAGGTGAGAAAAGCACCTATGCCTCACTCGTTGCACAAACCTGTCAGATGGCTAATAATTACGGCCACAGATTCTTGATCTCAGTACCTCTGTTTTGTGCACGTTCATTTCCTAAGGGTGGTTGACCACCATAACAGATGGAGCCCAAAGTCATGGACTACCTGAACTCAGTGGACTTCTTATGGACATCTGTGGACATTTTACAGGGGTGATCCATAGACTAAGGGAATGATATTTGTGTATTATATCAAAGGAGGGAAAGGGAGGCGGTTGTTAACGAGGTTGTATTGGATAGTGTGGTACCTGACCATGATGTAAATGGTATGGAATAAGGGGTGGAGAATGTGCTGGTTTTGGTTGGGACAGAGTTAATCTTCTTCACAGTAGCTAGTATGGGGCTACGTTTTGGATTTGTGCTGAAAACAGTGTTGCTAATACAGGGATGTTTTCGTTACTGCCGAGCAGCGCTTACGCAGAGCTAAGGGCTTTTCTGCTCCTCACCCCACCCCACCAGCGAGAGGCTGGGGGGGCACAGCTGGGACAAAACGGACCCAAGGGATATTCCAGACCATATGACATCATGCTCAGCATATAAAGCTGGAGGAAGGAGGAAAAGGGGGTACGTTCGGAGCAACGGCGTTTGTCTTCCCAAGTGACCGTTACACGTGACGGAGCCCGGCTTTCCTGGAGATGGCTGAACACCAGCCTGCCGATAGGAAGTGGGGAATGAATTCCTCAGTTTGCTTTGCTTGCGTGCGTGGCTTTTGCTTTACCTATTAAACTGTCTTTATCTCAACCCACAAGTTTTCTCATTTTTACTCTTCCCATTCTCTCCCCCATCCCACTGCAGGGGAATGAGCGAGCAGTGTGGGGCTGAGTTGCCAGCTGGGGTTAAAACACAACACCTCTAACGACAGGTCTACAAAGTATATTTCAACAACTGAGTTGATCACTCTACCCACTCCTCACACTTAAGGAAAACAGACACTTGTAAGCCTCAAGTCACATAATTTATCATAGGTGACCTTAGGAATTTTATTTCACTGACTCTAGAGGGAGTCTAGTCAACAAGCGCAGAGAGTAAACTGTAAGACACATCTGTAATGACTTCAACGTCTACGGATAAAGAATCCTGAAGTAAAAAGAGAAAGCAGAGATGCACAAGAAGGCCAAAGTCATTATTCAAGTTAAAGAAATATCAGTCTCAGTACTTCCTACATTTGAATACCCAATTTAAAAAACTTAATACTTTTAAATCTTCTCTGTAATAAAATTATAGACAAGAAAAGCTTAAACAATAACTGACATCAGGATATACTTACAACAAAACTGTACTTCACCTGTTACTGCTTTTGTGAGCAGGATGACAACTGACCATAGCAAGTGGTCTCTATGCTAGAAGAGACTAGAACTACTCTCAGTAATGGTGTCGAGTTCAGTGATGAATAATGTAAACCCATTTTCTTCTATATAAAAATAGGATAGGAATGCACTTAAAACAGACATTACCTCTCTACTAAACAGGCAGTTCCCACTAAAGGGCAGTAATATGACTGTCTTCAGTGTTTTACAACAGAAAAGTAATTATATGAACAATAATTAAAATACCATTGTGACAAAACATCTTGGTCTATAATAGTCCTCTCGATTTCATCTGAACCGTTCAAATTATTACTAATCACAAAGTTCATCAGAAATTCAAACTAGTCAGTGTTCTGGAATTGTATACTGTCATGTAGGTATTCTCTCACATGAATCACTACCAACTCTGCTGCTATTGCCCATCAGAAAGCTGCCACACAGAAAGACAACACAGAAAAGTAAGGTTAAAATTAATCCAATGCAGAAACCACTGTTGCCTTTTCAGACATGGTCATTCTGGTGGATGAAGCTATGGGTGATAGTGAGCGACCCTCCAATGGAAGATCTTTAAAGCCAGCTAGCTTGACACAGAAATAGATAAGGAGCTACCCTGCAACTCAGTACACTGACTGAGGTAAAGAGGGAAGCAAAAGTAGAAGACTCTATATTCCTGGGGGTTTTTTGGTATAGTTTAATTAGGATTTGAAGAAAATGTAGAACAGAACAATCTAAATACGGGGAGATTACTTTATTAAGAGCTCAAACTAGTTAAAAAAAAAATTAATACAAATCTTACAGTCTTAACACCAAGAACCTCATTGCATTTGTATAATTTCAAAGATGCCAAAGCTCGTGTGTACGTATTTTTTTTCCCGTCCTCCATAAAAAAAGGAAACTTCCAGTCTGATTACTAAAAATTTAAGAAGTATGGTACCTTAATGACACTGGCTGTGGATATCAGTGTGTTTGGATCCAGCACCTCCACAACAGCTTCTGGAATTACAGCCTTCTTCATGCAAGACATGTCAAAGCCATATACATCGTCCCAGAAAAGTAGTTTGTCCACATGTTTATTCATATCCCCAACAGCTACTAGGCTAATGGTGCAAATATCAGGATAAACTGTAACAACAAAACCAGATTAGTGAAATTTTATTTTAGACATGCATAAAGAGGACTTTTTTTGATCTTTTCTCTTTAAGTGATTAACATCTTTAAAGAACAAATAAAAGAACTTTTTTCAGCTCTTGGACAAGACACTTTTTCTGCCACCTTATTTTCTGGAGTCCCATTTGTCCACAGAAGAGACTAGACATTGAAGCTCAATTCTCCCACTCTACTCTGGTAACACGACAAAATATCTTTGTAGTCGAATCCTACCGCCAGGAAATGACTGGAAACTTGACATCCAAAGAAAATAACTTGGAACCTGCTATTCTGGCTTCTATACAGAGACTGACCTAAGATGTATTTAGTAACTGTAGGCAGACACCCAAAGGAAAATTCAGGTGAAGGCTTTGCAGTAACAAGAAACCTCTGTGAAAAGACCTTATTTCCAGAGAAGAGCAAATATTCTCACTTCAGAGTTTTATTCCCGTTTCTTATCAGCTCTGGCTGGTACTTGCCTTACAACCTAAAATTTATTTCTGGGTACTGGAAAAGAATAACCACTCTTCTATCTGCATCTGAAGAGTATGGAAGTGACCCAACAGACAGAAGAGAACTTCCTCATTGATTCCCTGCCCAGTTTTAGGATGACAGCTATCACTCTTACGCTATCTTCACACTTGTTCTGAAGATATTCTTGGCAGAAGGGAAAGCACAAGTACCTATTTACAGCTTTTCCAAGTAGTAGTGGAAGACTGACATTTGCCTTTTTAACAGCTGCTTACAGCAAAGCCAGTCAATCTCCTGGCAATCTCTATCCACTATTGATTGGAAAAGACACAAACAGCAGCTGCGATGAACATGGCTGTCTATAGCACTATCAAATAGTAAGAGAAGCTCAATTTACATTTAGCTAGGTCTCTTTCCACAAAGAGATTCCCATGGGGTTTTTTTCAGAGTTTTAAAGCCTCTAAAGCCACATACGTTGAATTCTTGATCCGGCTTCAGAGCCAAATGCCTACTAATAAACACCTTATTTTATTTTATTTTTATTGATTCATGAATGTGGCAGTGTTAACAAAACTGCAGTTAAGTTTCTCTTTTCCTCCCCAAAATCTGGTGAACTGCAAAATTAGTTTTGTCTTCAGCTCTGCTTGAAATTGTAGCTTATCAAAATGAGTATGGAGAAATCATTGGTATATAACATGGTAAGTCAGAAAAGCAGTATTTTTTGCCTTGTAAAACACTAAAGATAGAAACAGCAAACTGAAATTAGATTTTTCTATATAGTGAGAGTAGATTTAGCCTAAAGGAAATAATCTTATACATATTAACGATCAAGAAGAGCCTTCCCTAAAGAAGCTTTTTTCCCCATATGGAGCCATTGAAGTAAGCAACCACCTCTCCACTGAGAATGACTAGTTTATACAAAATAGGAACACACTGTCATTCTTCTCACTTTCTGGCTATTTAAAACAGAATAAATAAATATCAGCCAGCTTAGATTGGAGTCCCATTGGTAAGCTATCACCATCCCCACTTTGCAGATGAAGAACTCAAAGCAGAAGGTTTTTCCAGGAACGGCCTACCATTAACTCAGCAGTAAAAAGGCAGTTTAATGAGAATCAAAACAGGAAGGCGTTCAAACTGTCTTGTCTGAAACAAATCATTTCGTTCCAGCACACCTGACAGCTGTCACAAACACAAAAAAATCAACATCTGGTGGTAGGAGTATTTGTAAGTAGTTTCTGGAGCCATCAATAAGGGGTTTCCATTTTGCAAAGCTTTCATATTGCTGTTTATTAGCATGACAACTGCTTTATATTGGGCTTTACCTCCCAGCCTTCCAAACCTTCAAGAGCCAGCAGTGATGCTTCAGAAATTAAAAGACAGTGTGAAACAGACAACAAAAGCAAGTGACTCCAGCCTTTGAGGGAATATTTTTCTGCGAAATGCCTTTCATAGGATGCAAGGGGTATGGTGAGAACAGGGATGAAATGAGACTGGAAGTCCCTACTTAAAGAATACTCTTAGAGGACCACGCTAGTGACACTGTAAACAAAAATGAAAAGCACAGCAAAAAGTGATCAACCACTTTATAACCTTCCTTCCTTGTACTAGCCCACATTTCTGGGACATTCTGTTCAACAGGGAAAAGTCTACCATGTCTATCAAGCATGAAATATTTGAGTGGGACCATAATCAGTTTTTATTACATCTCTTCGTCCACACAGTAAATCCTTAAATCCGCAGTGGAACTCATCATCGATTATACACAGTGCTTAAGAACAAGCAAAAATGTAAACACTAATGCTCTAATCTAATCTGCATTTTTAGTTTAGTGTATCAATAGCAACAAAAAAAGTAGACAATGCCTGTTCAGGTTTCACAAAAAGAAATCTGTGTTCCACCAACAGGGCACAGGCAAGAGACTACATTGATACATTAACTTCCAAATTTACAAACCCACCCGTGTCCAGAAACATATGCTATACTGAAGTTTGACTGGAAATGTAAGCATGTTATCTAAACATCAGCCTACATCATCTAAATGCTGTAGAGCATTGTTACTGTTTAAAAGCATCTCCCTAAAAATGCATTTGCCATTTCATCCATTATCCTTGGTTCCCTGGAAATCCTCTGCTCTTTCTGCAACCCTGTAACGCTTTCCTGTGCAATCCTGACAGACTTGTCATTTTTTTCTGATTAAGCGTATAATTTAATAATTATTCTCTCTCACAGGTGAAATGAACAAAACGCCGATTGGACAAAAGCACATACTCCTCCCTCAGTGCTCTCTCAGATTCATCGTTTTGACCATCTGTGTCCTTCTCGAGTCAGTGCCCAGAAGTCATCTGTCACTAGGAGCAGCTCACGTGGTGAACAGAATACGATGGGAAATCCTTTATCCCTTAAGCAATGCCTCACAAACTTCAGGACGCTGAAGGGTAAGGCAGCAATCCTCCAGATATATGGAAATGGATAATTCCGCACGAATACCATCATCATTCTGACGTGAACAAGCTAACGGTATTACGTTTTGAATGATGCCTTCCTTACCTATGTCACCCCTCACCAATGTGTCCTGCACTCAAGCATATGCAGAAACCTATACTCAAGCAAGTAAAAGCTCTAAAAAACAAACAGATGGGTCCCGGGCAGCAAGAATTTTATGTTCCCAAATAAAGCTATTATATACTGTACACATTACCCTCGACAGTTTGGCATAATCCACTTCAGCATGCCAACAGGCTAAACTGAAGTAACGACGATATGACTGACTGAACACAAATCTAGAAATTTGGATTCTATTCCCGGCTCAATCACTGAAAGATTTGGCCAAATCGCAGCTGCTTCTATTGCTTTTTTTTCACCTTTCAAACAGTCCCTGTAATCACGATCTTGGGCTCAATAGTACAAAGCGGCTTGAGACAAAGTCAAGCTTTATGGCAGATTCAGGAGTTTCTCTGGTAAGACTTCACCTCAGAATGAGCGCTTAGTTTTGGCTCATCTGAATTTGGATGTGTCCACAGTTCTGCTGCTATTGACCTACACTGCAGAAGTGTCCGTCTCGCTCAGCTGATTGCTGAGCCACTTTCTCACGATTAGGCACAGCCATTTACCTGCTATACAAGCTGGCAGAAGAAAGGTAATTGTAAGCATCTTGAGGAAACAGCGTTCCATTTAAAATCTGGCCATACCAATCGACGAATGTACAATACTGCATGCTTTGTGAAGAGTCAAATAATGGCCGAAGACCACTCTCAGACCACAGAGGATAACTGCACTGCAGAGCCAGCATACCCTGTGTCTCAAAGGAAATTTTGGGAGGCACAAGCCACCAGCAACCTTAGCAACAATACAAATAGAGAACAGGATACCACTGCAGTTTCAATAGAGGTCAAAAATTTCTGGCCCTTTTGAGAAGGCTTCGGAAGTAGTAGCTAAACATAAAATGATTCCTTACAAATTTAGGGCATGTCCCCCAATTTAATTATATTACAATATAAAATTATCAGCATATATCTATACAGTGCACAAGACAACGGTGTTCCAGATCAGGCTGGACTATTCCACATTACTGAAAACAAATATATTTAGCCTGGTGATCAAATGTTGAACAAATGCATAAACCCCCTTTTTTTCTGCTGCACTCTGTAGCACACAAAAGCTCACTGCAATCAAAGGGAAGCACTGCAGCGAGCACTGTTACATAGTCATTAATCCAATCATTAAGTCAGTGTAGTGAAACTAACTATGCGCATGGTTAGCACAAAAGGGGAAAAAAAACCCAGACTGATGACTACGATTGGAAAGGTCAATATGAGATACAATACTGACAAAGGAATTAAGTACAAGAAATAAAGCATATGCAGAACTCGTGCAGAAAACTGCATCACATGAGGAATAAATATTTACAGGCATTAAAACACTGCTTAAGATGACACTATCTCAGCTACTTAAAAGGATAAAAGAACTCCACTTCAAAATAAAACCTTTTTGTTCTGTCACTTCCCTACCCTCCAACCACAAAGAGAAAGGGTATATTCCTACCAGGACAGAATTAAATACGCTGAACTGAAACAATGTAATACCATTAGTTATTTCATGTGGCTTTTTGCATTTGAAACTACGCCCTCCCCGTGCAACTTCCCTCCTCCGGGAAAACATCCTATCCACTTTTCCTCTAATTCATAGCAGCTTACTCAAACAGTATCACATCTTACAGAACAGAACTTATTTTCCTCTGTTTGTAGTTATGCAGAAACTGGGATTTCAAGAGGGAAAAACAAATACCCACATGTGGGAAGAAGTAGGGAGGAAAAATTTAGACTCTACGTAAGAATAAATAACCCCCTCTTATTCTTAAAAACACCATTAACTTGAGACCTTGATACCCCATCTAATGTTCTTCTATTACCCATACAGTAAATTAATGCCTTGAAGCTCATACTAATGGAAACATTTTTCATTTAGACTGGCAACTTTCTCATCCATGCATAGCTTATTCTAAGTCTCTGAGTTCATTTAGTTTCCCCCCAGAGCTAAATTTATTAAAAGAATTACGCACACCAACCTGAGCCTCCCTCTGCCAGGTACTTGTCCTTTGCATAGATGACCGAATCCAGCATTGACTCAAAGAGAAGGAAATAACCCTGTTTATAGAAAAGGGAGAAGAATTTAGAAATTATTATGCTTCTCATGTAGCCTATCTAATCAATCTACAGATAGACTTTATCAACACAATTTAAGAACCTGATATGGCTATACACTGCAATAAGAGCCAGCACCCAGTGAATTTCTCAACAGCATTATCCCGTCAAAACTTTAGTTACATGAAGTATCACCTTTAATTTCCCCAACTGCAAGTATCTAGCACCTACTAAATTAATAAACTACAGGCAATAAATACCCAAGCTGCACCAATAATTACTCAATAGAGTCTTACAACATCAAAAGAAATCACATTCAACTCGCAGTGAAAAGCTGCATGTATTGATTTTTTTAGTAGTAACTCCGAGGTGCCACACAAAAAACCAAACAAACAAAAAAACAAAGTCAAACAAAAAACCCCACCAAACCAAAACCAAAAACAGAAACCCCGAGAAACTACCTTCCCACTCAGAGCTGCGAGTAACATTAAAACTACCGTCAGCGAAAAACCAAATGGAATGCATCTTTCCTACTTCACATTTGCAGCCTCGAGGTGCCCTGTATCAGCTTGGGCAATGCTCAATAGGACAGGGGGAAATAAATCATACACCAAAGACATGGGTTCTCTGGATGTTCTATATTATTTAGCAGCACCTGAAATTAAAAAAAATTCTAGTTCTAACCATTTTTATCCTGAGATTTACGTTGGTTTTTCTGTGTTGGGATTAACTTTATAGCAGGTTAATCATACTCCTATAGATGTTTAGAATAACCTATTGTAAACTTGAGACGGCCATTTTCTGACACAGAAAAAAAATTTCCTTAATTGCACATTTCTAAGATATAAAAAAACCCATATAGCACCATTACATACAATCAACATTGTATATAAAACATCCGGCTTCTCAACTACTTTTAAGTAAACTGCAGATTTCTAAGAGATATATAGCCCTTTGTTTTCCAATCGATTTACTGATTTTACACCCTTCCTATCTTCCGAGATACTGAATACTGTAACACATTTTACCCACATACACATTTGTATGGCATCAAATCAATTAAGATTAATCATACCGGCATACATTTTGGAATTTCACTTAGTGTCCTAATTCTCACTTTGCTTAAAACACAGCTTAGCCGTATGGCTTGATTTATACACCGATTGCCAGTAGAAAAGAACAAAAAAGCAAACTGGAAGTCCAGACTTTGGACCTGCAGTCCTACAAGCCCAGTCGGCAGTAACCCAGCAAAGAAGATTTTTTCCTTCATTTTTCCTACACTTCCATATTTGTACAATCATAAGGATCATTTTTTTAAATTTATTTTTTATTTTTGAAGTCATCATGCCACACTACTGAAAATATTCCATTGCATGGGAACCGCACTGCTACGACCACCAAGTTTACACCATCTTGGATGTTTATTTTGCCTAAGGCTCTTCAAACAAAAAATGCTGCAAGTTCAGAATTGCTTATAAACGTCACCACCCACACTGCACCCTTCAGAACTAAAAACAAAACTAGAAAACCAGAAACCTGAAGCATGGCAGATTTGTATTCAACAAGAACAGAGTTTGAAAACAATGGAAATGCCCTTTTCTCAGCCTGTTTCTTCTGGCAAGAGGACAACGCTCTACTGGACACTTCTCTTCCAAATGTTGCCTGTTCTTCCGCTTTACCGCCTAGCTTTTATGAAGTCCTTAGAATAAGTCCCAGAGCGAAGACTGCTGCTTTGTGCGCAATATGATTTTTAATAAGCTTTACAAAACGTCTGAAAAGGCCAGGAGCTCCAATTGCATCAAGCAGAGACGATGTTATGCCTACAGCAAGCCAAAAGCACAGAATGGAACCAGAGTTTTCTTAATTCTTATTCTTGCAGTTTTAAAAATAGAATATTTTTAGTTCATAAAAATTGTCTTCAGATGCTTTTAACCGAAAGTGAGTTGTTTTCACAGCATTTTAAATGTGACCTCTAGGACACACCTTAAGACTAGTTACCAGCAAGAGTCAGTAAGTTATGAAGGGACATTTTTACAGATCAGCTCTTCACTTATTTCTTCCTGCCTAAGATGCCCATCACCTACTGCATCTGACAAACAAGTGCAAGAAGTACAGCTGGAAGACACACCTTCTCATGAGAAATACAGCGAAATTCTCACCGTCCTTTCCCCAACCTTTCCACTCTGGCACTGTTGGTTCTCCCCCCCCGCCCCCCCCCAGTTCATTATAGCATTCCTGTAAGTTACATAAACCGTCAATGGTACTGAATCAAGTCATTTATTACTTATAGCAAAGCGTTTTGCTCAGTGTGCTGTGCTCATCTGTAGTGTAATTTAGAATGTAATTTCACAGGCTGCTGCCTCACCTGTAGGGGTGCCATCTGGAAAGAGAATTATACCTGACGCCTTTTCCCCGTGATGCTCTGGGGCACTCTTGCTTCCACCCCAATAACGTTCAGGGTTTTGTTTTTTCTTAGGCGTGTATTAGCATCCTCAAAATTAATTACTGCCAAGAGATCTCTAGGATACAAACCTGTGAGCCGCATATTAATAATTCAATCTTGCCAGAGGCTAAAGTAAGACATGCAAAAGGTGACACGTTCTCTCTTAAAGACAAACTGAATACACAGCACACGCTAAATGTTACCCTGTCATATTATGCATTTTCTACTAAAAAGATGGCCAGTTCTTTCTCAAAATGAATGTGAAGCTCCTCATTTTTATATTTTCAAAGCTGAAACAAAGCGCTTGTTCTCCAGCTAACAACAAAAACTATACATGCAAAGACATTTGGACAGGAACAGAAATACACAGCACTATGCAGTTACTCCATTCAAGCATATGTCTGTCCTACATCATGTCCGTCCAAGAACTCAGCTTTCAAAAATGCATGAGCCCACTGACAAATCCAAATCCAGAGGAATGTGAGAATCACTACATTTCTTACATATCCTTTTTATCTGTATTTTGCAACAGAATTATAAAAGGCTCACAAAACTTTGATGGCTTAGTATCCTGCATTGTTAAGTTTTCCTCTATCATTCAAATACACTACAGCACTCTAACATTTATTTTCATTTTAATTCAAAGCTACATAAAAAAATATTTTACCAATCAATCAAAATGTAAGTATTGGAAGTTTTTAACATTAGTGCTTCAGTATTCATCATGACGTTCTTCATGAAGGAGGAGATTAAGCTCTCTAAAAGCATCAAGACACAAGAACAACACTAAATTCTAAAGTATACTTCATCGCATGGAGAATACTAAAGAAAAATGCTTTGTTTAAAACACAAATTACTTCAGATTAAAAATGCCTTTTCATGTACATTTCCCTTATCCATTCCTATCAAATACCTTAGTGGAACCTGGTTTTGCCTTCACTTATTTTCTACCATATATATTTCAAAAAGTGGTATTCGCATGTTTACAACAGCAAGAATTGGCAGAATTTTTAGTACAGCAGAAAAAACATGTTAAATATTTCTTCTCAATTCTATCCTTACTACTTGAATAAGTGTTGTGTTTCCCTCCCGTCTTCCATCAAAGATCTGTTTTATTATTTTCTGTAACATAACTGAACCCGGTCCGGTACTCCAGATTCAGTAAGGCCTAACACTGAATATTTAATACGATAAAAGGCAGCTATCAAATCACTGGCCCAGAGAGTAGACTTTTTTTTTTAAATCCCTATCAGTATAAAATAAGGGTACTATTTTCTTAAACTGAAGTTTCCAACTACAAGGTTTCCATCGGACTAGAGTAAAACAAGTTACAGAGGGTACATAAAACAAACAGACTGGACAACCGATTCAGATTTAAAACATAAAATGTAACCTTGCATTAACAGATGCACAAAACTGACTAGGCCCACTCAATGTTGTGAAAAATTGTTTTTAACTTGACAAAATCCTCCCAGAACCTGTGGCACATTTAAATGAGCAGCAGCAGCTCCATGTAAACTCTTCCGCATGCTCTGTTGCAGCGCCATTTCCCTCACGCTAAGTCAGCCTACATGCTGATCTTTCACGTACAACTTAATTTTTAAAAAAAGGGAAATAATTCATTACTGACAGAGCAAGCCCACACATTTCAAAAACACAGCTTGACTTTGTTATTACGCACACCCTGTTGTGTCCTTAAATAAACATGAGTGAGAACAGCAAGTGGGAAGATCTGAAGAGCAGAAAAGTGATAAACATTATTAGTGTCGGCAAAAAAAAAAAAAAGTCATGCAAGGAAATACAATTTCTTTATAAAAACTATTTTGCTGTAAAGAAATTAAAGCATTCAGTATGCTCTTTACAGCATTATTAAAAACACAAAAAGAACAGCTCAATTCTTAGAAATAATTTATAATTTTACGTATTACAGAACTAGAACGCTTGTATTAATGCGCCTCCAAATTCTAACAGAAACAATACAGAATATTAAGACTATATAGAAAGACTAGTATTAAAAAAGCACCATCACTGTGTACCCACCATAGAAACAGGGGAAAGGAAGAAGGAGAGAAAAGATGGTTTCCAGTGTTTCAGACATGCTCACTTCCCTAGATCCTGAACCCCTCCCATTCACAGCCCATCCTGCTATCACTTCAAAATTATATAACACACACAAAAAAAGGGGAAAAACAAAAAAAAGATATTAGCTGTATTAGCTACCCAAGCAATGATACAGTTAAGAGACAAGAGTACTGGATTCTATCCTTAGTTTGTTTTAATTTCAGAGTCCATCTCTTTCCCAGTTTTTCCTTATGTAAAACTTCATTGCATATTCAGTATCATAAAGCACTGCATAAAACAGCAATTTATGAGAACGCACTGTACTCCAACACAGTATTTGAGACAACCATCTCGGACAACTGCCTCTCACAGTAAAACCCCTTACAAACAAGAAATGCAGATTTTTTTCAAGTCAATAAAACTCTCAATCTCTAGCTTTATCGTTTTAGCTAGAAAAAGGAAGTAAAGGCATACGGAGAGAAAAAAATCTGCACGCAGATGCAGCTGGGTAAGAACATTCCAGAAAAACATTACACACATTTTGTTTCTTTCTGCACTCATCCTTTCAATAAGCAGCCTATGAAGTTTACAATTACACTACCAAAATCCACGTGTGCAGTAACACAGTCACCTTTGGATGGTGATAGCAAATCTTTTCCTCCCCAGCATTCAATTTAACCAAAAACTAGCTTCAGCACTTTGCACAGCAGCTCTCATTTCAAATTTATATACTGTATGTAAAATTACTCTAATTACACTAAAACATCATTGTTTCTTAAAATTCGGGATCTCTGGGGAGAACACATAAGTGTGATCCTGACTGAGAGCAAACCTACGATGTATACGACTTGTAAGTACTTTCCCACCACCCATATGAACAGCAGCACATTCAAGACAAAATTCTAAGCTTCTGATGAAATTTGAGCATTTGCAAACCACGTTCGCTTCAGGTGAAGTCATTAACTGATAAGGGTTTTCATTCGTTCCACCAAGGTGCAAACAAGTCACTGATGTGCCTTCAGAAATTATTTGCATCAGATAGCCACTAGGCAGTGTGTACAAATACTCAATTATTTGTACCTTTGCTTAGAAACATTCGTAGTTTCACAAATCAAGGCTTTCAAGAATTGCCAGGCAATCAAGCAGGATGGTGCATCAGAAGCTTACAGCTCTGCTGTAGAGTATCAAACGATCCTGGACAAGGCCAGCAGTGAGACATTATATAGAATTCACCCATTCTTACATTCAAATAACCTCTCTCCAAGAACTGGAAGACCTTCTCCTTACAGAATCAGTTTGGTTAGCAGAACAGGCTATTACTTGGCCATTTTTGTGTTCGTTCTTAAAGCAACGTGGTTTACTGGGTGAAGTATCTCTTGGATCCACCTGCTCTCCCTTGTGCTCCTGGTTCACAGCACACAAGACGTCCTTCTCTCAGGCTGCAGACTTCACCAATGTTTTGCTAAAAGGAATGCATAGCTGGCTTCAGAGTGAAAAAAGTCTAAATAGATGGCATTAGCTGGGTCTTCAGTAGTCCGACAAGCCCTCAGTCTTCAGCAATCTGCCTTTTGGACGCCAAGAGAACAGCCCACAGCTCATCACACCTTCCACCGTCTTTCTCAATGGTTTACATACTGGTTTTAGTCGAACACAATCACACAAATGCCCTGCTTACGGTCTGATTTTAACCATGTCAAACACACATACTTCAGACGTCACAAACGATGCATTTAGTCTTTACATTAAAAGCAAGATCAATAAATTAGCAATTTCTTTCATAGGCTTAAACAAAGCCACTGAAGAGAACAGTTGCTCATCTTTCAGCCTCTAAACCTGACAAAACCGCTTCCACATGAATTTAAAACTGAAAAATACTATTTTGGAAGATGACAAATAGACATTTGAAATACAATTTGGCTATATACACACACACACACTCACACATCCCTACCCGCTGTGTAATATTTAAGATGCCTCTCCCATTTTTGTGTATTTTAAGGGAACAAATTTAAAAATGAAAGAGAAGTACCAATAGCAAGCAGTTTGTGGAAGTCATAGGTCACTTACACAATTAAGAGAATGATCATCAGAAACCATTACACTGGCGATGCTCATAATGCAACACTGTGCTTTTTACAATACACTGTTCCACGTGCCGTCTTTCTCAGAAAGCCTGTTCTAGAAACATTCCTGGGGGATGCAGTATTTTTCCTCTCTGTTGCGTCCATTCTGTTGCTTCACACTTGTTTTTTATTTTCTGATGCTCCAGACACAGCTCTAAAAAAGCTTATAGCGTACTGGTCTTAAGCACTGTTCTGTACCAAGCAAAACAAAGCTATGGCTCCACAAGAGGGTTTGATTTTTACTAGTCTCAAAGCAGTTTGTTTTCTAAACAGAAAAGCAACTTTTCATGTATTTGCTACAAACTAAAAACTGCTCCCATTAAAATTTTCCTGCTAATCCATACATATTCTCTAAATAAAGAGCTGAAACCTGACATATATTGAATTCCTTTTTGCTCTCGGGCTTTGCATTTCCAACATTTTCAAGCACTTACATTCACATATTAACAAAAGATTTCACACTGGTCAGTATCACGTACGGAAGGAAAAGAAAAAGCAAACTCACAAAGCAAGCCAGACAAAGAGGAATCTTCATTTGCATCTAGGCAACATAATGTTCCTTTCTGGACAGTGTTGGAACACTGTGTACACTGTCCAGCTATCAATCTTACTTCCACGGTATTGTGCTCTTTATCTCTGTATTGCAGCAACCTATAAAAATGCTAACATTCCTAAATATCTAGAATACCTAATTAAGTGAAATGCACATGGCTCTATAATTATGACATTAAAAGGTAAATTAGCACACAAATGGGAAACATGGAACATTCAATATTTCATTTCTTACACGAGCTGCTTTTCAAAATCCTTTACTTCACCTTAGAGGCACTGATTTACAACATGACTTAAGCTCTTAAGGGCCCGAGTTGCTTTTAAAACCAAACCTTGGGCTCCAGAATGAGAAATGTGATTTTGGGAACATGATTCTTGGTGCACATATTAGGCAACTCATCAGAAGCTTCCCTGAAAGAACTATAATTACATTTCTAGTGAAGTCACTATACTGTCAGCAATCACCAACCATAACACACTATTTTTAAACCGCTAGTTTAAGCCAATGGCTTAAACCTCAACACTAAATTAAGCTCATGCTTCAAATAATGTTCATTATAGCAGCAGAGGAAAAAAATTTTGCAGATTTCGAGCTCACTGAAATATGCAATATAAAAAAAAAATCCACAGAAAAACCAAAACGAACAATTTCCACCTTTACCTGGAAAATAGGCAGATACATATGGATCCATAGTGAACATGTGACCTCTCTCCCAAAGGCCCTTGCGCATAGTAGAAATCATAATAAAAAAAAAAAGCCACCCCCCACCCCCCCAAAAAACCCAAACCAGTAACTTCGAATATGTTTTCATTATTGATCTTAAATTTGAAGGACAAAAGAAATTTTCTTTAAGTACAAACAGTGGGAACTAGCATGAAAAAAAACCTGTATTTAAGCGCTTTTTGAAGGTCTGCGATACGAGGAGACTGAATAGCAGAAGTCCACAAAAAAAAGTCACAAGGGGTGTTTCCTACCACATTTTTGATAGGGAACAGACTTACTCAGTCGCTACGAAGTTCAGCCTGGCACTGGGTCTCGTCACACAGATTTCTTTATTAGGAACAACGGCAGGTAGCAAGCACAACTGTGTAACAGTCATCAGCCAGCACGTGAAAGAAAGGTAACAGGCCAACGGCTGAAATCCAAGGGATTCCAGGAAATGGCTCATTTACACACTGCATACTGCATCTCCTGTTGGCCACCATCTTTATCATGTACTTTTAAAATCAGTTATTTTATTCTTATACTAAAAAACTGCAATGAATAGTAATGCTCTTTTCAAGCTCTATATATACTTGCAGATTTCCCAGTGCATGTGTTCCTCGCCTCCTTATCGCCTTTCCCGCACAATCAGGATAGTCTTTAGCTGTCTTTATGGACTAAAGTTATTTAACTCATCAGAACCATCTAGCTAGACGACAAATACAATATTTCTCCATTACTTTCACCTGAGCAGCTACAACAGTATTATTAAGGAATAGAGTACTTCTGTAGATCTGCATACCAACTACGTCACAGAAACTTAACTGCTGTACCCAAAACAGCTCAACTGCAGAGAACCTTGACTTGAAAGAACGTGAACAAGAGGGATCAGGAATTGTATCCTAATACCACATCATCAGGACCATCATCCCATCTCCCACATTGTCAAAGACAGTGCTACAAGCATAGTAGACTTTTGGTTAAAAAATAGCATCGCTTAAAGAATAATTTTTCAAATGAAATAACACGACACAGTTTTTCCTGAAAATACTAGGTCTTGAAAAGAATATCCATGCACCTTACCATCCATTCAGATATAATTACATCCACTTTTTCCACGGGCAGATCTACCTCTTCAATTCTTCCTTTGACTAATGTAATGATATTTTCAAGTTTATTTAACCTGCAAGTCACAATATAAACAAATTAGTTTATATTTCCAATTTATGCTGTCAAGACAGATATACTTATGCCTATATTTTCTCCTCCCAATAACTTTTTTTTTAACTAATCAAGAAAGCACTAAAATGTAATATTCCTCTTCTCAATTATATTTCAGAGGGAATGTTTCTGAGTAGCCAAAAACTGCAGCAGATTAAGTGCCAGGCAAAGATGGCAGACAGTAGATCTGTATACCTTCGGTGTGCTGTGCATGCAAACGCGGAAGCTTCAGAAACCAGGAAAATACAGAAAAGGACAATTTAAAATAACGCCTCTTTACTTAGAGTTGCTTGTTCCCAGTTCTCCTTCTTTGACCCCTGTAGCATAAGTCTATAGTGATTAGAGCCTATTCATCACACCAGGATAGCAATCGAAATTAACTTCCTCACAAAGCTGGTTTGCACAACTTAGTTTTTTATTTAACAAAACTAGCTGCAAAGTCACTGAGAACAAACATTCCCTCTAGATCAGTATTACAGTTATTCCACAATAAAGGCATCCTCCCCACTGTGATTTTGGCCGGAATCACCTGCAATGTTTACTAACTGCAGTAATCAGGTATTACCTCATATGCAAGTAACAGTACAACCACCTGCGTAAGGAGGAAGGTACTGTGACATGACTACAGTTTTTGAAACAAAAACTGCACGACGGTGAAATTACTAAATACGTAAATGCTTGAAATTTAGTATTTTTCTTCTTGGCAAACCATATTAGTCTTTCTTACACATACCATTATTACAACAGCTATTCTTACAGAGGGCAGAAAAGTATTCCCACCAAAGAAATCTATCTTTCCACTGCAGTTCTTATCTCTGCCCCTTCCCTCCCTATCCTGATATCTTACTATTACATTCTGTCTGGCTTTCAATGCAGACCAGTAATCACATTAAAAATTCAATCTAAAAGACAATGGGAGAACGATCAGAATGAAGGGAGGGAAAGGAATGGGTCAAAGGGCTACTTGAACATGTGGGCTGTTGGAAAGATGAATTAAATACTCTACACATGACAGTCTTCTGTTAGAAGAGTAGCAGTTCATCACTAATATCGTATTTAATGGTGTAAACAGAAGTAAAACCAGAAGTTCGAAGAGAGAAATGAAATGTTAAAGAGCTATCGCCCACAACAATATTTTAAGAAGGACAAAAAGAGATCTAAGGGTAATTTTCTAGATGTGATTTAAAACAAAAGAGAAGAAAGACTAATTCATCACAGATTTGTTTTCAGTTGTAAGGTATAAAAAACCCAAACCAACCAATGTAGTTTACACACTGTAGGAAAAACTGCTGAGATGCTATTCAGGAAGTACACTTCAACCTTCTATTCTAGCGTAACAGTGATGAATGACAAAAATCAAGTTGTTCACTGCACTAGAAATTTTATGGGCAGCTATTTACAGTAAGAAAAGAGAAGAAAAGCATTTAGCTAAAAATAAGTTAACTGTAACCTTGGGAAAGAATCATGCCACTCAGGCCACTTACTCCAGTTTACTTACACACATGGGTTGCAATTTCTGGTAATTAGCATGCTAGAAATGAACCAGAATTCTGGGAGGGACAAAAGCTCTCGAGCACATACTTGAATCACAGGTGGAAGCACACTGCAGTAGTCATTTTTAAACTACACAGAGTTGTTTAGTATTCCCATAAATATTTGTTACTCCATTACAAGTTTGTCAGCTTTATTCCTTTAGGAAAAGTAGGTTTAACAAGACAAATATAAATTGTTTTGATGCAAACTGAAGACTGTAATGTGAATTGAATCTTGTATAGCAGAAGGTGTCTACAAATGTGTAGCCTTACTGGCAGTTCGCTGTGTACTTCAAGTGGCAATCCATCACTCTTAAGAGTTTAAGAGTTTTGATTTGTTGTTTTTCTTAAAGGCCTGCCCTTCTCCTCACCAAAGGTAATATGCGTTGGCTGATACTTCTATCCTCCTCTAAGTATAAATAACACACAACGGACTTTTTGTGCACTTGTTGGAAGATATGAACAATACTAAGTTTGTCATCTAGTACATTAAAAATAAAACACTCGCATTTGTAACCGTTCTGAACATATCAAGGACTCCTGGGAAAAGTTCTCTTGAGAGAACGAGTTCTTGTGCCATAACAGCATTTTATTCGAAGCTGCACATAATGCTTAACACAGTACTTTTCTTTAACAGGCATCTATTTCATAGAATAGTTTTACAGCATCCAAGCGTGCAGTGTTGCACCTCCAACGCGTGAAGCGGTAACTGTCACTCGCAAATTCCTCAGTATCTACCTAGACTTTCTTTTCCACAGTTGCTCTTATAAAAACAACCAAAGCCACACACCTCATCTATCAACAACAGCACACATTTACACCTACATTTCTCCTACCTCATGCGAGGAAATCCATCATAAGCCTTCAGATGCCATTGCTTCATTTTTACCTACACTCACAATCTCCCTTAATATCCTCTATCGGTCAATTAGTGAAATGTGAATGGATCAATGAACCATCACAGGGGTGGAAAGCCGTCTAGACCACGAGGTGCAAGAGGTGAGAGAAAGAGTACAAAGCCTAACTCTTAGCTGGGTACCAGAGGTGTCCCTCAGGGTTCAATGCTAGTTCTGATACCTTTATTAGTGACCTAATGGCACAGAATGCACCCTCAGCAAGTCTGTGGATGATGCTGAATTAGAGGGGAGCAGCTGATGTGCTAGAGGGTAGGGCTGCTATTTAGAGGGACTTCAGACTGTAGATATGGGCTGATGGGAATCTCGGAGCTGGAATAACCCTATGGAACAGCACCGATTAGTTCCTGCTGGTCAGAATCGGCTCTGCTTGCTGTTCCCCACCCTATGCTGACAAGGGGCCTGGTGAACAAGTTGAAGGTAAGTCAGCAGCGTGCCCTTGTAGCAGAAGTAGCCAATTGTCCATCAAAACCTGTGTTAATTCTTAGGACACAGAAGTGACTTCAGTAAAACACATACTGAGCGATAGGTGATCATTAACTATTAACAGCATTTTAATAACTTCTTACAGCAAACTTTACCACACTTTTCTTGGAAATTTTCCTACCTAATGATGTCCATGGCCTGATAGACGATTTCAGATTGGTCGACTCCAATCACTTTCTTCGCGCCTGCTTTGGCAGCAAACATAGAGAGTATTCCAGTTCCACAGCCAACGTCCAAAACCACCTGAAACGAATGAATGGAGGTAAAAATAAACATCTTATTTCCCTTGCTATGATTTTTCTACATGTCTTTCTACAACAGTGAGACACCATATTCTAACAGAAGGAACAAACGGTAGCGTCAAGTCTTACTATTACATTCAGAGGTATCCAAGTCAAACTGCAGTACTAACTCCACACTCTCTACTACCTTTTACAGATATACAGTGAAGCAGACCAGCTACAGCTGCAGATTTAAGTCAGTCACATGGGAAACAATCACAAGCAATTATTTGGGCAACAACTAAAAAGTTACATGAACAGGAGAAACAGGAAGTTATAGCCCGAGCAATTTCAATCAGTGAATCACTAATAATTGAATTTAGCACTGGCACTGAAAAAACATATTCTAACTGTAGTTTCTCATTAAAAGTCTATTCAGAAACTTTATTTATGAATCATCTGCTACAAATGGCCACAGTGCCCCAAAAGAGCTATGGCTCAAGATGACTAAATTGCAAAATGGTAACTGGCATATTTTTAACACCTGGAAATATTTTCTAACACTATTTGTAATCAAAATAGGACCAAAAAAATCCAGGAAGATGGGATCCATAAGTTTTCATGAAAACACAAATAAACTTCATCGCTGCACTTGAAAAAAAGTACACTCAACGTAGCAACAAGACTCATGCAAATGCTTGTTTTGACATCTCACACGTTAGCTACTGTAGGAAGATTTAAAAGTTTAAAAACGCAAAGCTACTAAGAAAATAATACCAACTATATTAATAAGTAGAGTTGAGCTGCCAGCAGTGTTGAACTTCATAAAGCAGGCATTTTACCAAGTGCCCTTGTTCAGGCCTCAACATCACCATAGTATATTTCTTCTCACTGCTGGAAACTTCTCAACAGCTTAAAAACTAACACTTTTAATCTTGAATGTGTTACAGTAGATTTTTAAGCTACGAGTTTCACGTTTGATGTTTTCACAGAAACACAGAATTGTTGAAGTTGAAAGGAACCTCTGGAGATCACTTAGTCCAACCCCCTGCTCAAAGCAGCGTCAACTAGAGCAGGTCGCTCAGGACCGCGTTCGGATGGCTTCCGAACACCTCCTAGGATAGAGACTCTACAACCTCTCTGGGCAACGCGTGCCACTCTTCAGTTGCCCACACCCCAGGCACTTGTACGCACGGAGAAGATCTCCCCTGAGCCTCCTCTTCTCCAGACAACACCACCCCAGCTCTTTCAGCCTCTTCCTACATCACAGATGCTCCGGTCCCTGCAGCACCTTTGCCGTCTTTCACTGGACTCGCCCCACTCCATTCAGCTCGCTCTCGCGCTGGGGAGCCCAGGACTGGGCACAGCGCTCCAGAAGCCATCTCCCTGCGGTACCAGAGAAGCCGCATCTCTCTCGACCTGCTGGTGACAAGTCTTCTTCCTAACGCAGCCCAGCAGGCTGGTTTTGCCACAAGGGTGTGTGTTGCTGGCTCACGGTCAACTTGGCGTTGACCGGGACCCCCACGTTTTTTTCTACAAAGCTGCTTTCCAGCCCGTAGGGCCACCGCCTCTGTTGATGCGTGGGGTTATTCTTCCCTCTCCTCTGCAGGATTCTGCATTGCTCTTTGATTGCCCGAGCCCTCTGCACAGGACCCCCGTTGGCCCATTTCTCCAGCCTGTGGAGGTCCTTCTGAAGGACAGCACAACCACGCAGTGCATCAAGCACTCCTCCCAGTTTTGCATCACCTGCGAATTTGCCGAGGGTGCATTCTGTTGCATTAGCCAGATCATCAGCGGTCTTATTGTTGGACATCTACTTAATATAATTAAGCTTTACTAATGGCGTTAAAAAATTCTGAGCACGAAACCCAAAAATGTTCTGAAATCTGAAAATCAAAAAAGTTTCATAAACACTACATAGTCACTCGTATCACGCATAGCATTTAAGCATTAACAGAATCCGAACTGTAAAGACAGTCTTCCTTTCCCATACAAAAGACCTAAACAAGACAGTAAGAGCAACTTACTAAAACACTTCTAAGGTAACAAGAACATTGAGTCAGAATTACTAGTCATAAAAATCATTTCTTACAAACGAACACTAACTTATTTCACTGTCTCTCCTTAGCACAGCACCCAGTGTTGTAAAAACTATCCTCCTCACAGCTTTCATTACATGAAATTTTTTTCTAAGGCAGGCATCAAATCACTCGGTAATCAATCCCACACTTGAGAATTATAACCCCCTTTTACAAAGTATTTCAAGGCAATAATGCACCGTACTGACAAACTTTCTAGCTTATGAGCTACTGAGCATTCTTGCCTTGGCGCAACAAAAACTTGCATGTGCACTTTTAAATTTCACCTAACATCATCACAGTAAATACTTGAATGCTCTGCATATTAAGTCTGCTTGCCTTCCCTTGCCTACAGTTCTCTACGTTCTGACGACGGACACAGAACAATGATTCTGAAGCCAGCATGAATAAAAATAGCCATTTATCCTTAGCAGCACAGCGTAAGTGAGCTTCTGCTGTAGCGTACTGGGAAGCAATGACTGAAGAGTTGACTGCCACCTGTCTCGATAGAGCAACTTACAATCTGGAATCAGACTAAAAAACACTAGCAGGATGAATTTTTTACAGCATCTTGTGTAGAGGCCGGCCACGGACATTACAGAGTTACTTGTTCCACCTGCAACTATTTGCAGCTATGTTCCAATAGGAGTCAATTCTACAACTCACTCACAAGTTACATGTGAGTATGTAATGGCTACAGAAATCCCTAGGCTGAATTCCTCTAGAGACAGGAATAGAAAGTAAAAATCAATGTTCTCGCAGCTGCTGAAATCTCACACCCCCTAACATCATCTATTCTAACACTTTACCCATGGCAGTTAACAAAATTGCTGAGCCATGAAAGCTGGAAGTCAGAGCCAAAAATAAACCTCTGTGAAAGAATGATCTTGATGTACAGTTGCATGAAAGAGAGCAATCACCACAAATTGGAAAAAAATCAAAACAGACACCACTTTGGACAGCTGCCCTGGTCACTTAAAAACCCAGATGGAACTCATCTAGCCTTAGGCAGGGGATGGGGGTGGAGAAAAAGACACAGGAGAGAAAATATACAAGCTGGAACACATCTGAGGAACGGAAAGACAAGCAGAATGATCACCAATTAGCCTAAGGACAAGGGTCTACAGCTAACGCATTCTTGCGGTGATCACATATGGCCTCTCACCAGAGATCTGGAGCAGCTGGACTGGCGATTTGACTATACCATAATATACTGCAGCATCACATCCTTCTCTGCAGTCTAATCAAAACTGATATTCTACTTTTAGTAACAGAAAAAAATTACTTCAAATTCAGAAAAACAGGAGGTCTGGTAATTTGGCCAATTAATTCCATCGATGAACTTCTAGTAGGAATCATGTTTAAAAACTCATTTTTTCTCAATATGGCATTGATGCCTGCCTCAGACTTCTATTCTACAACAAAAACTAAGCATGGCAACAGTGCTTTTTCCAATCAATTATCTTTACACCAAAAAATACTCTTGCTGTAAAAATGGATCACATATCCTTTTACTGAGTAAGGCCACCTTAACTACTCCTGCTAGGTAATCTAAACTGTCCTATTCTCATCTCAAGTACATCTGACAGGTTAAAAATAAAGGCAGCAAGCAGGATTCATTCGAGTTTTCATAATTTCTTTAGAAAGCTGAGAGAGAACAAACCAATTGGCTGGTTCTGAATAAAGTATGCATAATAAACAAAACTAGATATTCTGTTATCATCTGTTATAGTGCAATCACACCTCTTTGGGATACTGCAGATTTGCATCAAAAACTAGTAATACCAATTAAGCTCTTTGAACAAGCTCCTCCCAACCTTCTAGGGAGGAATACCATATGGGAGTTCTGGGAAATACAGTATAGGACTTTTACTCACTGTTTTTTTGAAATTGTAATCAAACATTAAGGGAAAACAGCCTATTTCCTCAAGTTGAAGTTTCACTCATTAATATGGTTCCGAGAGCATCATATGATACATAAATTAAGCAAAACATCTTAACAGTTCCTTCAGCAGCGGTCTGTAACAGATGTCACTTCAAAGCCAGATCTCTAAAAAAAATCCGATATATTCTCCTTACCAGAGTACCAAGTGAAAGCTACACCAACATTTAATCAGACACAGAAGTTAAGTGGGGCACTGGTCACCTGGATTGAAGCTGTTGGGAACTCAAAGCAATTGAGAAACTTTCGTTTCATTCAACCTCAACACACCACGATGGGTTTGGATACACTACGAATTTGAGGTAATCTTGATCAAAAAAACTACTGTAAAAACACCATGTTTAGAAACCAGTTTGTAGATGTTGTGAGAATAGACAAGCTTTTCTTTAGAAGTTGAATGCTTTCACGTGAAGCAAAACCAGAGTAAGCACACACATTCTCTACCTGTTTGCTGAGCAAGTCCATCGACAGCTGGGGCTGAAGCAACCTTGTCTGTAACAGTTCATCCATGTTTTGTTTCGAATGTTACCAACAGGTCCACACACCAGAGGAGAAATACAACCAATTCTGAAAAATTACTGTTCCACTAGGACACACATTCCACATAACTTAGTAAGATCAGTCTCACCCTGTGAAAACCTGCAGCTATCAATTTTAGGGGCACCTGTGAAACTGAATTTTTCCCAGAAAAGTTCTCTCTCCTTTATTGATCTCTCTACTTTGTTGGATGAGCCGCTCACCGTTTAAGGAGCTGGTAGCATGATGCTTCTACAACACTTTTGCTCATTCTCTCATTATAACTGAAGAGCTTAGAAATGTTCAGTAGCAACAGGCTTATGACATGGATTGAAGCAAAAAAGGAAGAAAACTCTTTTCCTAATATTCTTCTGCTGTAGTTGCCAAAAGAAAACCAAGGTAAGGCATACAAAGAGTATGCACCTTGAAGTGCCTCCCGCCTACGACAAAACTGTATCTAGCACCGTTTCCAACTGAGGAATTATCAGATGGGTGCACTTTTATTACTACCACAACTATTCTGAAGCCTTGTATTATCGAAGTCTCAATCAAGACCAAAATAAAAATCAACAGTGATTGCCTTCCATAAACCTAGACATCCCGGTTTCACACTAAGAAATGTCCATACGCAGCTTAAGAATGGTAAGCACTAAATAGAGGAAAGCTAATCCAGAACAGAAGGCTGCACAGCGTAACTCAGAACACAACAAACTCATCAGAAATAGCCAGCAGAAATACAGAAGACAGGAGGATCACGACTGAGCAGGGGTGATAACCACAGTAAGATCGTAAATAAACGTCAGTGCAATCTCTTCTCACTGCAAGTGAAATACTAGTTCCTGGTTCTAAGTCCCTTAATAATAACCTGGTCTGGAGAGACTCAGCTACACTAATTCAGTAAATCAGCTGCGTATGAATTCTTCCCCAATTCTAATTACACAGTGCTTGTAGATGTTTTTATTGTATCAGGCACAAATTGAAATTCACTTAAATTCTGGTAAAGAGACCCTCTAAGATAGATTCCACTTAATATACTGGACAAGAAAGACTCAACTTAACCCCGCCAACATAATTAATGAACATCCCGACATGGCACACAGAACAATGACAATAGCGATCAGCACTTCTGTTATCAGCACTTTGCACCCTCCAGCAGCTGAATAGCACTCTATCACCTCATAAAGCCAGAGTACATTAAATCAAATCTTGTCAGTGTGATATTCCATTCCCAAAGCTACAGAGTAGCCAACCTGAAGGATTTCTACCACTTGAGAAAAAATAAAGCGCAGAAATTATTCTATTTTCTGATCTGTTTTACCTACCTTGTCCTTGAAGATATGTGGGTTTTGATACATGAAGTCACGATAGCTTTCTGTACGCACTTTATCCTATGATTTAAAGAATAAAAAAGCATTCATTTTCTTCTACTTAGGTACAGTATATAGTTCAAAAATGTTGAAAACCTTGCTTTTTAACTTAGCCTAAAGATGTTTTGTGGCTACCGTACTTATGCAGGCTCTGCAATCACCACACTTCCCATACGATATTCTTTCAGAATTTATTGTGTTTACAAATGAAGCCAGCTGAGCCTCTGGAGGAAAAATAAGAAATTAGCTTACAGTTTCCTAACCTGCTGCATTTGATTTTGGATGTTTCAAGCTTCTTAATACCTCTTCACCACTTTCTAGGAATAGCAGTAATAGAGTGGCAATACTGCAACAACTTTACATAACAACTTCTATACAATGGTAAAAATTTTGAGTCACGAGTTCACAAAACATTTTGTATCATTTTATTCTGACACTCCTGTGAGACAGATTCCTTCAAAAATAAGTTATGGATCAGATTAACCTTTTCTATTTCTGAACAAACTGCAATTTTGCAAGCCTGACAACAAGCTAGTAATTGCAGCTGTACAGTCCATTCTATGAAAGCCCAATATAATAAACAAACTTAACTGTAATACAACATGACCTGAGAAGCTGGAATGTTTTCAAGCCTATAACTAAATATTTATAGTATCTTAGTATATGAAAGCTAGCAGTATAGCAAAATCTACCAGCAAAGCCATCTATTAAAACATTGGTTCTCTTAATATGCATCAGCAGGTACGCAAATTGACAGCCAAGTATAGGGTTTGGAATTGCTCTTACAGTTCAAGTGTTAGAGCAAATTAAAAGAAAAATGTTAAGCTATTTTTATCTAGTGAAGACAAGCCTATAAATAATACTGAAGTACAAAATCCCATTGCCTATATTTAAGTTAATATTTTTCTACTGTGGCAGGTAAGAATTTTTAGAAATAATACAGAAAATAAAGAAATTTTCTCTAGTGAGAAAGAACACAGTCTATTTTATTAGAAAAACAAGATAAAAAATGGATACTGAGAACATAGGGTATGTTTATAAAGATTCTGGAGACGAATTATCTTGAGGCTTGAAAATCCTAAAATCTGGTTTTAAGTTTAGGAGGATTATCACACACACAGAGAGCCCAAAGAAACATTTAGGGATGATTTTAGAAAATTGTCCTTTAAAATTATACATAATTAACATGAATAAAAGAAATAGTCATCCTTTAAAAATCATATTGGTTTACTATGATGTTATATTCAGAGCAACTATTTTTAGTACTTCACCTCTATTGCAGTACATAATAGGCTTTGCTGAAACGACCAAAAAAGTTTGGAAAGAAAAAAAATAAAAATCAGAACGTTCGGCATCAATCGAGAAAGCAGTCAGCCAGAAAGCTTTCAGCCTTGCGTCCTGCCCACTCACGTTGCCTCAGCACTGCCCCAACTTAATCAATACAATTCTAGCTGCTGCCTCTACTATATGCACTGCTGCTCGAGCAAGCCATGGTCATTCACTTCAGGTCTCTCTCTTCATCAACCCCATTCTCTCACTCGCCATTTCAATGTAATGCTTTTTTTGTTTTGTTTTTAAATAAACTGGTAAGGAAATTTATCAAAGATGATAGTCAAGAAATTCTCAAGCAAAAAAACAGAGCAAGGGAAAGACTAGCCATTTGGCCAGAGTTAAGTAACAATACTCTTCACCCATCTCTGAAGTATTTGCAGCAAAGAAACCAAACTGAAACTTCATCCTACCACTACCAGGCATAAGAAAAAAAAGGTTTCAAAACTGAACAGTGTCAGAGACAGACTTAAAATTCAGACAGCAAGACTCCTTTCTTAAAAGTTTCAATGTAGCAAGCCACTATATTTATATAAATAAGGTAGACATAAAAAAAAAATCTAAGCGAACATCTCGCACATAGGAAAAAATTCAATGCATGCATGATAAAAAGCAATTGTTCTCCTACGTTAAGGAAAGTCAAAAGTCTTCTTAAAAGCATTCTGACAAACATTTCCTTAAACCAATAAAATACAATTTTTTACCAATCTCCTTGTGCAGAGATGGAGAATTATTATAAACTATTAGCAAACAGAAAGGCTTCCTCATCCTATAGCCTATAACATCTCAAACACCTTTAAAGAACTGCAAACTCAAACGTCTATCATTTTTATTTACCTTCAAAACATAAATTATATTTCTCTAGACTATACATTTTGGAAAACATTCTTCTACTTCCGCAAACTTCTCTGCGCTTCTGTAACACCCACCCCTCACACGGCCCCCCTTAAAATTAACCTCATGCTTACACTATTCTTGACACAGATTCACGTGTATTTCTACATTGGGGCCACTAAATCATTTACAAAGCAGAAAACTTTATATGCTACCTATAAGGACAAAGTCACTTCACAACTCCGTATTCTATCTCTACACTGGGCAGGAATTTTATTTATTTCTACGTGAAAACGGTAAAACTGTTTATGAATTTCACAACTATGATACTTTCTCTAAAAGTAAGCATTAAGAGATTTCGATTTACGTGTCAATTATAAGTTGCTGGGGTTTGTATTTGGGGTTTTTTTTTTTTAAGTTAAAAGGGCATACACAGGTTTGCCTTTGAAGAGTTTTAAGCATTAATTTTTTATCTTTATCATACAAAGGGAGCACACAATTTTTCAAACTGTTCAATGTCATGTTATCAATACACTAGACTGTGCACAAATGCCAACAGCTGCTGTTTACCTAGTGCAGCAGGAAACCAAAATATTTGAGAAATTGTTTTGCCTAACTAATTTCAATTGTTAGGAAAATATAAACTGAAGAAAAATATTCACTGTCTGTACCATGTTTTAGCCTTTATCTTTTAAGCACCCAGGAAAAAGCTGCTTTTGGCAAGGTAAGGTCGTAGTACAGATATCGTAATACAGTTTCAAGCCTATCTGTAGAGTAAATGATTTTATGTTCCTAAGGCTTCCCGTAAACAGCATTTATACAAAGGAAATAAAACTGAAAAGAGATCTCTCAACCCAACTCCTAGGAAAAAACTATCATGTATAAAAAGGGTTAAAAATGCAGCTGCTCTGCAGTATATGTACGGGCACACAGCCCACTTCATTACATCTTTCCTCTTTAGTCCTACTAAGATGCAGTTGAGATGACTTTCTAACCTTTAGCATCTCTTCGTGTATCCCATAATGCCCATAGGAGCTGAAGTAAACACCATCCTCATCCTCGTGAAGGTCTGCAATGGCGCTGGATGACGAGCTGCTCCCGACATCTGCGTTCATCACAAAATCCTGTGCAAATTGTCTGTAATCAATTTGAAATATACCCTTGAGACATGTTTATGGGGCCAAGAAAAGGAGGCGGGGGTAGGGGTGGGGGGAGAAGGGGCTGGAAAAAAAAAAAAAAAAAAAAAAAGAGGGCTCCAGGCTGCACAGGGGCTTTGACAACAATGGGACCAGGTTTAAGGGTGCACAGCCCCCCTCTGCCGGCTCCTCCAGGCTGCTGCACCACCATTCTCCCTCCATCACCCTCCCGCAGTGACCACTTTCTGCTTTCGACCAGCAAATATCAGCAGTAAAACGTTCGGACTTTGTTTCTGTTTTTAAGGAGGTATCATCTGTTTTGCGCTTGCCAGTACAAAAGCTGGGACCGTGTGTTTTAGGCTGCGTAACGCAGATTCGGACTCAATACACCAAACAGCACAAGAACTACAAACCGCAAAACGCCGCGTGAATAATGGAAAGTAGAAGAAAGTACTTTAAAACAGAAGCACTTGCGTAGAAACAAACCAGAGCTTAAAATTCAATTTATTACTTGAATTTCACACTGTTTTTCCTCCTCCGTGGCCCTGCATTCCTAATACTCACATCCTCTTCTCATTTCTCAAAGAAGTTTTGATGACAAAATACACAAATCAAGGTTTTTACCATGAAATCACTATTAAAAGCTGACAAGCAAACAGCTCCTACTATACCCGCAATGAAGTGAAAAAGTAAACGTGCTTCAGCCAGACAATATTCCTCTGAGGGTCTACAGTCCAACATCAGCAGAACTTGCATCCTAGACCTCTCCGAAGCAGCCAAAGCTCACCTTCAACGGTGGTCATACTTTCTTAAATAGGAACTTAGCATACAGAAGCTGTACGTAACATCTCATTAGCAGTACCCTCCTTATAGAACAACAAAACCAAAAATACTATTTCAGTCCCTGATTAACTAGTTTGGATGGGGAAGAGCAGGTGGTAAGGGGATTCATATTAGAAATTTCTCAATATCAGAAACTTCCTATACATGCTGATGTACAGGTAAGGTCTTATTTTTAATATCGCTCTTCACCCATGGCAGTTTGCATTTTCCTTACTTTTAGGTAAATATCAAAATGATAAAAATTGAAACATACAAAAAAATAGATTCTACGACATACAATTAAGTGTAATTAGCATTTTGTAAGATTTAACCCAATTTTACATTTCAATTTATTTAAAATGGATTCAGCCAATAGCTCCTCCAGCCTATGCACACAACACAAGTATCAAACAAACTCTAGAGACAGAGCTGCCCTCCTGTCTTTTTAATCCAGAAGAAAAAAAGATACGTAAAAACAAAAGCCGTCATCTCTCAACAGGGGACAGATTAAAAAAATTCAGGACATACAAGCCATGCTCTTACATCTCTAGATTACATCAAATGCTAGAGGTGACCTGATTCATAGAACTGTTACCATTTGCGGGGGGAAACGATGTCACGAGGCCTCCAGCTACCTCTCTTTCCTTTGTACACCTTTCAATTCTCCTGATTCTACAAGTCTACTCAGCCTAGCAAACTTGGAAAAACATTTCCGCAGAAATTATTTTATACGCAACTAGTGAGTGGCCTCATACTGTTATGCCCGGGCTCAGAAGGCAACAATCTCTAAGGAGCTGCTTGACTGATCCTGAACAGGCAGTCATTAAAAAACTTGAAATACTTTTTCCACATCTTAGTGAGTAAGACCTGCATAATATAATCACGTTGCAACTGAAAGAAGTTACAGTTACTCAGTCTCCCAAGAAGTCTCTGTGGACAGGTATAGCATGACAAAGCTCCTGGAACCCCAGAAGCTGAAGCCAGCCAACCAGCATGCCAAATACCAGTATAAATCTACTTCCATGACAGAAAACAATAGAAAAACAGGTTACTGTAGATTAAGGTCCTGTACACTATTCTCACTCCACATCAGACTTCCAAGCTATCTTTACTTCACAGAGGTTTACCTGAAAGGAAACACGTGTAGATGGTCTCTTTCAGTGAAGTAATCTCCAGCATGAATCACCATCACTGTGAATTACAGCATGTAGACTACTACAACACAATTGGTTCATCTGTCTATAATTTAAAACTGTGCTGCTTCATCAGATCTACATCTGCCTATTTTTGCTGCCAGCCAATCCCTGATGAATTGAAAAGCCTGCATTGACAAAGAAAAAGTAAAGGCTCCCTTTTACAACAGCAGATAATTTGATACACTAACCTCAAAAAGAAATCTATATAAGCCTGATTGAAGTTTAGAGAGCTGTGAAGAAATTGCAACTGATTACCTAAAAAGGTTTTTCTTTCTTTTAAATGAAAAAGAAGGGAACAAGAATAGGACAAGAAGACACACAGGAAAAAAACCCAAGTTTTCCAAAACAAAGAGTGGTCTGAAGCCAAATACACGTTTCTGGGCCATGTGCTTATTTAGCTTTTGTAAGCATACTTTGCTCTTTCAATTTGTGCAAGTTTTGTGCAGGTTTTACTAATCATCTACAAAATAAAAGTCAAACCTACAGGCCCAACACAAGTCATGAGTTTTACTCCATAGTTACATTCTACCACTTCTTTGAATTTCTCTTGGTCTTTAAACATGAACATCTCAACTCACCTAAAACACATCAAATAATAAAAAAAACCAAACAAAACTTCAGTTCAAACACTTACTTCATTTTTTGAAGATCATCTTGTGCTCTAGCCAAGGCTGCTTCTGCAAGTCTTGCTCTGTGTTCTGCACGTTTTAATTGTTCAAGGAGCACCAGGGTATCACTTAAACCATTAGAAGGCAAAACATTCACAGGTTCACAAAGATCTTCTATATCTGATGAAACAGGGATAAAAAAAAAACCTCACCTACCAGTCACATATTGCTTCACTGCAGCTCATAAACATATGACGTTTTCAGCGTTGCTACTTGTGCCTTTGGATGATTTGTAAAAGTAGTCTGTCTTACAAGAAGCATCACTGAATTTGATGGGACTAACCGTAGAACACAATACTACTCAGTAAAAGCTAGTATGCTAGAAGCAAGCTCTAAGTTAACAAAGCAAATAAATCCAGAATTCAGGCTTCTTTACATACCAGTGTTTGATTATTGATAAAAGAGACGTTAGGTTCCTCTATTTTTCCAGTTATGTTATCCTGAGGCTAAAAGGGCTGTTAAGGGTCGTGGTAAAAGGTAAGAAGGTATACACACTTTTTTCTTAATAATTAGACATTAACTCTTAATTTTCAAACCAATACCTTGGTCTTTTATAAAGCTTATGAACACACAAAAGAGCATAAGCAGAATGAATCGACATGAAGCAGTGCTTTTTAACTACCAAAGCTCAGACTCAGCACTACATCCCATTCACCTCTTGCTAAATTCAGCTGATGATTTCAACAGACGTCAGTGGATAACAAAATGGTGCTACTGTGGTTTTGGATATAGTAAGAAGTTACTGCCAGCTTATTGGGCAAAAGACTTCATTTAAAAAAAAACCAAAAAACATTTACCTACTCCTTTTAATCATGGAAGACTGACTATTTGGGCTATGGGACTGAAACAAAGCACAGATACTTAAAATAAGATTTCAAAGGTTCAGATGACACTCACAACCCTTTAGGCAACCGCAACGGCACCTCAAAGCATCTCCAAAAGTCTATAGCTTGGGCAAAGAGCACACATTGGGAAAGAGCCGATACAGCGAAACGTGAAATCCCTTAAGTAACCAACCGATGTCCTCTACCACACATTATCTCTGCTGTGGTGCAGCAGGGCTCACATAAAGGGCAAAACTGCATCCCAGACTGTACAGAGAAAAAAAATCCACAAGTCCTAAATACCTTACAGTTTAGGTGAAAGACAGGTGTACAATCAAGTGCAAAATAGGAAGAGAGTGGAAGGATCACAGGCAGCAAAAATTTCAAAACTCAAACTGAATTCTCTCAAAACCACCTGATAAACTGTCATGAGAGAGAACCTAAGGCTGCTTGCACTGAGCCCTAGAACCACTAAGAAAGCAGAACTCTTCTGTGTAACTGTAGTATCCTACGCTTCGTTGGTCCAAAATGCAACCTGTATAAAAGATGGAGGTATTTTCAACAAAGCAAATTACTCAATCCTTTCTTATAGCATACAAAAATGCATCTGATTTTAAATACCTATATTTAGAAACTTTAAAATTTTCATAAATCTTGCGATGAAGCTTAAGTAGAGTGCCTCTTTGATCTGCTTAATTATTACATACAGCTATAAAAATCTCAGTCATTAAAAACTAACATATAACATGTGGTAAAAATTTCAGAGTGTGACTTCAGCTAGTACATGGACTTTCTCATGTACCTAAGTCAACTGAATAATAGTGACGATGCTTCACGTGACACGAACTCTGCCAATACCACATTTACCCCACAACGCAGTACAGTCATACTGAAACGTATTTGTTTACCAAACTGAAGTAGGAGGTCATCTTCTAGCTCTGGTTTCAAATACTCCTCTCCTTCCCAAGGCAGCGGGCTGTTGAGACAACTCAAATATGCTCCTGTTGGTTTCTAGACAGAAGAAGAGCATGTAAGCTAAGTTTCTTTGAAAACACCAGCCCTTTGATTTCATTCAAGAAAATAAAGCAAATATCTGTTCTTCCACCCATTAAAATAAATAGGTTATTAATAAAATAGCTTTGTAGCAAAGGCTGAGAAAGATACTACTGCAAAGCATGACTAATGAGAACAGCGACGAAATGAAATTCTAGCTTCCAACCTGACTCTGACAATGAGTACTTACCTTAGCATAACAGACACTACCACCACGGTGACCAGAGCACAGCATAAAACTACACCTCTGAGCTAGTCTGGGTCCCAAAGCCCAGAAAACTACAGGATCAAGGAATTCAGTACAAGCAGTAAAGCACAGTAGATTGACAGACCTTGAAGGATACTTGGAGAATTACACTGCTATCAGGAAGCAAGTTTACTCAGGTGTTTGACTGTGTCAGACCCATAGCTTACAACAGGGCTAATCAATAAAGCCAAGATACTAATCATGCCAAATGTTTTTACACAAACAGCGCTGTAGGGACAAATGTCAGAAATGCTATATTGTCTCCAGTTTGCATCCGGCCAGTTAATACTTTGTCAAGAAAGGAGAGGTCAGATACTGGACTTTGGGTTTTCCATTTCGGTGTTTACTCTGCGTAGCTAGTTATGCCTTGAATAACTATTTGAGAGTTTAAATAAATATTTGAAGATTTAAGTTAAAAATGCTTAATTACATAAGATGGTATTAAGTCTAAACATAAACTTCAAAGCGTGTTCTTTGGTTGCTCCTTAAAAGTCACAGAATACACAAAACATAACCATACCTAAATTAAAACTGCAGGTTCCCATCGACTGTCCCATTTCTGCTATCATTTTAGCAGAGATTAATTTTAGGTTCTGCGATGTAAGGGACCAGGTGTTGTTCTTACTAACAGCGCACTGGGGGTCTGGCCAGCTCACAACCCCAGGAAAGACTCTTTTGCACCAACACACACGCGAGGACTGACAAACTTCAGTTATCAAGAAGCGAACTCATTACTGGAGCGCAACAGCAGAGTCAAAGGCCGAGATGAATTTACAAAACAATGTGATACTACATAGCATAGGCTTTCTGCAAGTCTGAACATCCTCTTCTGGAAACAATAAAATTCACATTAAATAAATGTATTTAAAATAAAAACAACTCCACATCTAAATAAACCAATAGCTGCTTTAATTCCTGTAATTTCTTATTTCTAGAAATATAAAATTTCATACAGTTATTAAAAAAGGGCAAATTGAAAACACAGCATTTTGATTTTCCATTCTTCAGACTTAGATTACAGAAGTACTATGTGGCACACCTACCTTTAATCTAACAAAGTTTATTAGTTTAATGTATCCATAAAAATCAAGTCCTGGAAAGACAGAAAGAAGAAAAAAAAAAGAAAAAAAAAGAGAGACCTTGCATTACAGAAAACCCACAAGCATTTTACAATGATATGAATACTAATTACTTGTTCAATTGGCCAGCTTCCCCTTGGGGTATACATCATTATCTAGTGCAGTCTTCCTATCTTAAGTTTTCCATTTACATTTTTCTTCTCTTTAGGACTAAACTAGGAAATTCTCGCCCTCAGGACAAATACATTTGCTGCAAATTAAGAATGGAAAATAGCCTATGAACAAGGATTTCATTCATTTGGCAAGCAAGTACATCAGGACAGCCACATTTATCTCCTACTAGCTACCTTGCTGATATTTTAAATGTTGTGCTGCTTTGTTCATAATTTTAGCTTTCATTTAATAAAATACAAATTGATCCTACTCATCAAGATTACACACCAATATTGATCTAAAACTGCCACCTTGCTCCGAAATAACAGTAGTTTAAATAGAATTACGTACTCTTGTCAAGAATGGTGAGGACATTGGATTTCCATTGGATTTTATACAGAAAACAGACGAGAGCTTACAATTTTACGTGCAGATTTCTAAATGCTTCGTGCGGTTCCCATCCCCGTATCTCTCTCTCCTTTTTAGAGCACGCTCTTAAAATTCTGTTTCTCCAAGACTGTTACCCTTCCCTTGCTTTCCAGTTTTCCTCTATATGCAGCAAGACGTGGATTTCAGGCTCAGTAGTTCAGCACTTACCCAACTCTTCCAAAGCCACCCCCACTTCACATACATCCTCCTATATGTACCTTCCTTCAGTCACCATCTTGGTCTAAATAGATAGCAGCTTCAAGTGAAAGGCAACCTCACACTTCAACTGGAAAGAATGAAACAGACGTCGAGGGGTACACCTTCCTATGATCACCTCAGGGAACGTAAGCCAAGACTGCAAACAGCCCCTTAAAAGACACCAGCAGTACAGCCCAGTTACTTGACCTTTGGGTAGATACATCCACTTGGGTCTCTGCTAAGCTCCTGAGCCCAACAACAGTATCGCTAGTCAGGCCAGAGCTCCCAATCGATCAGGTAAATAGCTCTTACTCCAGCATGCAGTGGGCTGGCTCAGGTCGATCAGGTAGGCAGTGGGGACTCAGCACAAGCCAGCAGAGATCAATCTTACTTTTGTTACTAATCAAGAGCTTTACCAATAGATAAAGCATCAGGGAAATAGCCAGCATTAAGGTAACATATAAGCGTTTTCCTACAATAGCTTATCTTATTCAATCTTTGAATCTTCAGCTACAACAAGGAAATCGGTTAGAAACAAGCTAATCTTTGCAATTCATTTTAAATGAGATGCTGATATGCAGAAGGAAATGACAAGTCGTGAAAAAAAAAAACTTACCGTGTTTCTTGATCACATCACAAACATTAAACTGATGCTCTGCCTTGCAGTGGGAGAATACACCTTCAGCAGAACTAAACAACCTGTAAATAACAAATTATTAAACATGCAGCATTAACACATATGTTGTTAACACTCTTTATATTTTATACATTTTTATATGCTCTGTTCTGACCTGCTAGGCAATGTGTTCAGAACACATCATTTTTGCCTTTGAGAAAGGATGAACAGACACCTGCTTGCTCGCATACCTCACAAAGAAGCTTCTACCTTGTTTGCAGAACATTTTGCAACAAAAGGTAATAAACCTAAAAATTTTGTTTGACAAAACCACAAACCCCGTTAACTTTCAAAAACTCCTTGAGAGCAAAGACAGCATTAAACCCGCAATCTATGAACCACACATACATGAGGTGAGCCGGCCAGCTAGATCTGCTGCACCAAAATAAAAATCTCATCTATTTACTGACGATGGGAGAAGATGACAAAAAGAATTCGAGAGAGAAGCTGCCATACTGCTTCAGGGTGAGGAGAGAGGAATTACCCGCTTTCCCCATTACTCCCTCCTGCAGTCAGGATTTCGCAGACCCTTAGCTCTAGAGAGGCGGTAGGTAAGTTCAACACGCTACAGAGCGCTGTTACAAACTACGTGCTACTTATTTTTCCGACGTGGCCGCCTCCCGCCGGCAAAGTTTGGGCGCTCGCACCCCACCCCCCTTCTGCCAAGGCCTCCGCGGGTACCACCGCGCCTCAGGAGGCCCCTCGGCCGGGCGGGGGGGAGCACAGCGCGGCCCTCGGGGCTCCCCCCGCCGCCCCACCTGTCGCAGAAGAGGCAGCGGGTCCGCAGGCCCTCGGCGGCGCCTTCCTCCTCCTCCTCCTCCTCCCAGGCCTCCTCGCCGTCGGACAGCTCGGGCATCTCCTCCTCGGCGGGCGGCCCGCCGGCCCCTGCGGAGCAGAGAGCAGGGGACCGTTACTGAGCGGAGGGAGGGAGTAGGGAAAGAAGAGAGGGGGAGGGAGTAGGGAAAGAAGAGAGGAGGAGGAAGAGGCTGACAGACCCACCTGCGGGAGCGGCTCCCGCCGCCCGGGAAGCCATGGCCCCGCCGCCGCCCCACGTGTGTCGCTTCCGGGCGGACGCCCCGCCCCGCCGGCGTACGTCAGCGCGCAGGGGGAGGGGGGCGGGCCCGAGAGGGTTAGAGCGCCCCCTGGCGGGGTCCTCCGGTCCCGGGGAGCGGCGACACCCGACCGTTGTTCTTCAAAGGCGCGGGAGCGGCGCCGGCGCCATCTTGTGGGGGGCCGAGCTGTGGAGCAGGGGGGAAGGCAGCAGCGTCCCCGTCCGCTCTGCTCCCACCTGCCCGCAGCCTCGACTGTTCATGCGTGGTAGCCCCACAGAAGGGAAAAGCAGGCAGGTGGGTAAAGGGTCACACCCTCAGCCAGGCTAAAATATGAGAGATTTACGGCTGCTTGGAGGTGGGATCGTACTCTGTGCGCTTGGCAGGTGGCTGGCAGCCGGGTTTCTCTTGCCTGCAAATAGCGCGGCTGCGATGGGAGAGTTAAAGGAAATAACACGTGAATATCAGCTTTTAAACAAAGTTTAGCAGCAGGCTTTTATAACCGAGGGCCTCGTTCAAATGCAGAAGTTAAAAAGTGGTTTAAAAAAATTACATAGAAAAACAAAGCTCGAGGGTCATCATCTGAAGAAGATAGTATTTGACATTCTAGGTAGGTTACCGAACTGCCTTTGTTTTCTCTCTTCATTTCCAGCCTGACAGAAACATGCATCTCTTCAGAACCAAATGGTGCCTTTCCACTGCTTCACATGGTGCTCCTAAATAGGACGTGGTGGAGGAAATGTCAAAGCTAGAATTTTTCCAATTTGTACCCTCAAAGTGATAAATTCACATCTGTGCTACTACAAATATCTCCAAAAACAATGAAATTACTGTTTCGCCTTGAATCTGACTACCTTCTGTAGTGGCAAGAGCAGAGGCATGCTGTGCATCCTGTTGGCACTGGTCTGAATCAGGTGGCCAAATACTGTTATTTGTGTGGTGTCTCATAACCAAACAAGGGTACAGTCTATTTCCTAACATGACACACTTAAGAAATCTCCCATATCTCATCACTGCTGTTAGACAACTGCACCTCCTCAGACATCATACATGGATTTATATATGTCAAATTAATAAAACAAATGATCCAGCCTCGCAAAAAGCTATAGTCATTTTTAAATAACATCTTGTACTTTTTGATCAAATCAGATATCTGTGAGTAGGTTACATATAATTCTTTTTTCTTTGCCCATTCAGTTAGAAATGTTAGGGTGCCTCTGCCTTGGCACTTCAGTTCAGGAGATCCAACGTGTCCTTTAAAAGCTGATTTGCCAAACTCCCCTACTTCCCATGCTTTGGTCCGCATCACAGTGTGGTCTCACAACACATCAGATGGGTTCCTTTTTCAAATGAAACTACCAGACTGCTCCAGGACTGCAGGTCATGGGACCAAACTACAGCTGCTAGCCCAAAGTTAAAATCTTGAAGCATCCAAGTACCGGGTTTTCAGCACCAAATGTTTTGCTACACTTGCTGTACCACACTATTTGCCAAGGCAGACATGGCAATAGTCTCCTCTCTTTTCATCTCCAATCTTGTTTTTCATAAGAAGCTATTCTACACAATATGTATTTTACAAAGGTTTAACCTGCAACAGCACTCAATCTCATTATGTAGCACTCGGCATAAGTGAAGGTACCAAGTGCTGATTAGTACATGATACTTAATTGTTGCTCAACAGAGGGACCACTAGCATTATTATCATTGCAGGTTTTGGTCATTTCCAGAGGGGTGGAACCAAGGGTCAGATTCTAGTCTCATTTTTAGAGTGCAAATTCGGTGGTCTTTGCTGAACAGAAAAATACAGAGATTTTAACCGATTGGTAAGAAAAAAAAAAAAACAAAACAGGGCGGTGCAGAATTCAAGAAGGAAACCTGAAAGTCTGAATTTACTTGTCCAGATTACGATCTCTGATTTCTAATCTGTACTTGTAAATCTGTCCCATGTAGCTTAATTTTCCCTTTCGCTTACCCTCCTATCTCTCAAAGCTAACAAAGAAGGTTTTTAAGTACGGTACTAATTAAACAGATTAGGCTTGCCTAGTTATAGGCAAATCCAAAGGGACTTGAAAAATGTAAATACAGAAACTGGTTTTAGAGAAAACCAGAATGACAGGTTTGAAAAAGGATCCAAGAGCTACTAAATCAGACTCCTTCGCAAATTCTGTTTTGTGTTTTGTTTCTAAATTCCATATCCCTTCAGAATTACTTCTGTAGGTATGACAAGTTAACACCCATTCCGCAAACGCTACTTAGGGGTGTAAACCAATGCTTCTCGTGGAATTTTTTTCCTTACGTAGTGACTCAGTATTACTCATTGAACTAGAATTAGTGCAAAATGCTGGCAAAATACTGCATACCCTTAGTGTGCGGAAGAAATCTAGGCAAGTCAGATGCTTCTACCTTATTCTCCTAAAGTAGGGTCTGATCCCATGAAAGAAACAGAAGTGATGCAGAATGATAAAACATACTTTTCCTCTGCTCTTGATCAAGCAGCTAATCGCAGAAATAGATTTAACAGCCACTGCTCTATCAGTAGTGCCGGGGCTGATAGCAGCAAAAGCAGAAACAGCAGCTTCTTTGTGTTTTACTGAAATTCTCCCCCACCAAAGGGGCAAGGGGTCACTGATTGCATAGTCTTTGCTCCATTGCACACCCTCAGCTATTGTTGAGTCCACTCGGAGAGCAACGGACCGAATGTGCCGTACAGCCTTGTAACAAAATCTTCTCTTTTATTATTGCTTGAATTAAGATTCTCAATAAATGTAAAGCACCTGTTCATTTGGGTCAGCGTATATAACATGTTGGGTGAAGACTGTATGAAATCCTTGCAGAAGTGTATAACTTACACCGGTACCTCTTGAAATATGATCATCTTTGTTACAATCTCCTAATCCTTGTAAAGGGATTTGCATGGTACAGGAAGATTTACAATGTAATGGATTACTATTTCATAATCCGGGCCAAGGGGAAGAAACTTCAAATATTTACAATTTTTTACTGCATTTCAAACTTTTTTCCAGATCTGGAAGCATAACACTGGGGATGCTGTTAGAGGGATTTTGCACACAAAATATGGTACCAACATATCGTTTGCGGGCTTTGTTTCATCTGGATTTCCAAGCATGTGTAGCTTTATCCCCTACCTGCGTCACTCCTTTGTGACCACAGTGCTTGTCATTATTCAAAAGCAAAGAAAGTATGTTAATAGAAATTGTGTAGGAAACAAATGAAACATTTTTGAGCAAACTATTATTACATGGCTGTTACTTTACCCTGTGTAAAATATATTAGAAAAAAAGAGAACATGTTTAAAAATTAATATTAAGAAACAAAATTATTTCTTAGTCAGTTGTGTAGTCAGTTATATTTTTTCAATTTTAACCACTCAGGGTTGCCAACAAAACAGACAACTGCACAGAACCGTGAAACTCAACACAATTTTTCAAAAGTGTTTTCTATCTAGAAAGTCCAAACTGTCTGAAATTTTACACTACACTCCTTGGATACTAAACCCAGCCTGCTACATTTAAGTGCCAAGAACGACACTCCCAAAAGCACAGAGTATGATCGCAAATACTCTCTTACGCTCAGTCCTCCTACCCCAGTTTGTTGCATTTTTATTAAATTAATGAAGCAAACTCTTTGTAGAAAGCAGCCTAAAAGCAGATAGTGGCTTTTTCATTAAGTCTTTAAGATGTGCAGCAATCTTCAGGAGGTTCTCACAAAGCTGTCGCTTCCCAACATCACACAGCAATGAAAAGCATAGCTGTAGCAGTAATAGGTGCAACGGGAGGAGGTACAGAAACCTCACATTTTGCAGAAGGGCATCACTGCAAGTAAAGCATCATTAATGCCAGTGGTGATCTTACACCTTTATTACCCTCTCAGCTGAAGGGTGAATTTAGACTCTGTTAAAATAATTAAGAGCTTGGAAAGATTTAAATGAAACATAAATCAGAAAATTTGAGTGCCTATTAGTATACAGAAAGGACAAGCTGTAGTCCAAAAATACTTTTTATTCTTATCACCAGGAAAAATGAGTGATATTGAAAGCAGAATTGCTGATCTGAATTTACCTGTTCAGTCAGTTTAAAAGTTTCGTAAGATGATGGCCATATTCCCCTTAGTATAATTCTGAACTAAGATAACTGACTGAAATATTTTTCATCTAGGCAAAGCCCAGGGGATCCTGCGTAGGGCTCACCCTGAAGGTAGGGCTAGGTTTAAGCCTGAGGTAGAAAGCAATGCAGCTGAAGTGGGGCTGGAAGGCACTGCCTAAAGGAAAGTGAGGGCTGCAAAACAATTTTCATCTGGGCAGGGGCAGGTTTGGTTTTGGGGGATTTTTTTATTTGGGGGTTTTTGTTTGGTTTGGTTTGGGGATTTTGGTTGGTTTTGATTTGTTTTTAACAAAAGCTCACCCTGGAACTCGGGTTAGGGTTATGTTACAAAGTATGGGACTCAGCATGTTACACAGATAATTTTTAGTTCCCTCCATTCTTTGTCTATTTTCCCTGCTTTAACATTAAAGCAGCATTTCTCAAGCTGTCAGAAAGGCAAAGGGAATACAAATATCACATTCTCCCCCGTTTTCTTGCATCAGATCAGCAAACTGATTAGATGGGCTGTTTTGTTTTCTCTGATGTTCAGTCTCTATCAGACAGGCTAGTTAAACCAGTGCACTTCAGTGCTATTCAGTCAGCAGCTTTGAGGAATGGCAAATAGCAGGAATGTACAGCCAGAAATGTAGCACTGTTGGTACACATACTGTGAGTGACCATTTTCAATGAAGGATTGAGCAAAACCAGTGTCTGCAATTAGGGCAGGTCTACAGTGTAGAAAAAGGAGGGATACTACCTTGAGACAAAATATATTTATGCACCTACAGAAGTGCCTCCATAAAATGTGCATTGTGCAGCAGCTTGAGGAACACAGGACAATTTCAGGTGCTACAGACCACTGAGATCCAACTGAGAGAACTCCAATC